AGGGAGTGGGTGAGAGCAAGCCAGGCAGGAGCTTTGGAGGAAGCTGGCCACAGGTTTGTTTATGTCTGGGTGTGTTTCTCTTACATAACTAGGCAAATCGGCTACACTTTCCTTTAGCTACCAGGCCTGGCCTTCCAGAAGGCAAGCTGGCTTTCATCAGAAGTCAGCTTGTAGACACCCAGGCTGTTCTATGATGGTGACCACTCCCTGTCAGAAGTGAGCATCTCTGAAAGAAGTGAGGCCCTTCAGCCTCCTCCTCCCTCCCTTCTTGGTGCCAAAGGGCCCTCTTCCCAGGACAAAAATATCTCCCTTGTTATCTCCTGCCACTAGAGCATCTGGCATAGCTAGGAAGTACTGATGGGAATCTGTGGTTTAGGAGCCCCAGTGGAGCTACCCAGTAGCGAGGATAATAACTGAAGGAGGACTGGGGAATCCCCTGAGCAGTTGTTGATCCTGTAGGATCCTCAGGAAGACGCTGGCCCCCATCCACTCTGTCTTGTCCTAGCCTCTCATTCCTGAGCCGCCCCGGCTGTTCTGGGAACGCAGCATCTCTGACTGATTCTGTGTAGCAGTTATAATCCCTCGGATTTAGAAATGTTCGCTCTTGAGTCATGGGAGAGAAATCCTATTGGAAGTGAGATAGAAGCCGAATTTTCCATGGTTTTTATGCAGCACATGCAGTGTTTGATGTGTTCCAGTTTGCCTTGGGCTTGGTGGTTGTCTTGTTTTACTTTCATGAGACTGAGTCTCATGTAGCCCAGGCTGGCCTTAAATGTGTTGTCTAGCCAAGGGTGAATGTGAACTTCTGATCTTCTTGGCTCTATCTTCTAAGTGCTGGGATTATAGGAGTGTGCTGCCACAACAGACTTGGGTTGTTTTTAAACATGTGTCATTATAGTTACTTGAAATTGTTTGCTTGTTGTTTGTTTTATTTATTGTGTGTCCATGGAATGTGTAAGTCAGAGAACAACTTTGTGGGGTTGTTTTTTTCCTGCTTCACATGGGTCCTGGGGGTGGGGCCTTACCAGGCTTGTCCTTTTACCCTCTGAACCACTTGACAGACCCAAAGTATTCTTGAAAATCATCACTACACATAAATAGTAAAGCCCAACCCTGGGATCTGAAGAGACTCTGTCACAGTGGGTCATCCTTGGGGTGACAGAGCAATGACAAGGTCTGGGAGGTGGCTAGCTTCATACTGGGTCACACCAGGTCACTCCAACACTGAGCCACTCACACCTAGCTACATAGTCAGGTAGGTTTCAAGCGTCTCCTCTCTGTGATACAGAGTGACAGCAGCATTTCCAGGGCAGGAAGTTTATTTGGATCAGAGTTTTGTGGGAGAGAAGGTGTGGCAGAGAGGCTCAGTGGATGTGGATGGGAGCTTGTAGCTGTGACTTCTCTCATGGGGACAGCCTTCACTGTCTGTCAGTGTCTGTCAGCTGGGCCCCACAGCCTTCTAGAACAGTACCTCGAGGTGGGGACCAAGTGTTCAAGCATATGAGCTTGTAGGGGCCATTTCACAGTCGACCTGTAGCAATTTGGTATTGCTTTTGCAAGTTGCTCTGTGTATTACTCTCTCTCTCTCTCTCTCTCTCTCACCTGTGTGTGTGTGCACATATGTATATGTGCACATGTGTTCCTGCCATTGTAGAAGCCAGAGTACAGCCTCGGTGTCCTTCCTCGAGTGCTGGCCACCTTGGTTTTTACTTGAGAGAGTTCTCTGATTCTCATGGGACTCACTAAGTTGTTTGGTTGGCTGCTTAGCAAGCTCTCGGGATGTGGCCCCCTCCCCGGCGCCGGGATTACATGCCTGTGTTGCCATGCACAGCTTTTTTTAAAAATCTCCTATCCACCCCCCACACCGGTTCTGATACTAATGCTTGTGTGGCAAGTGGTTTAGTGACTGAGCTTCCTCAGGCTTCCGCAGTCTTTCGGTCTGTCCGTCGTTAAGAAGAGATTTTAGTTGGACACATCACATCATTAGTGCTTCTTTGGGATTCTGGAATCTCCGTGCATTTAACAGAGAAGACAGGCAGGCTCCCAGCTTGAGTAGATAGCTAGACTTGGAATTTACTGTATTGCTTCACTTCTGTAGCCTTTTAGCTCGTCCATTCCTTTCTATTTTTGTCAGGGGAGACAGGCTTTCTGTTTATACTGGAGATAAGGTGTTTCTTAAAACAATATCATTTAAAAGAAAAAAAGTGTACGAACCTGATGGAAATACTAAAAAATGTGCAACATAGGTGTTGTGTGGCTGCAGAAAAATGGGAAATTAAGAGAGGAATGGCAACGATTTGAGATGTTTTGGTTCAGTATCACTTGTCGCTATGATTGTAGAGACTCACAGTCTTTTCTTGGTGAATCTGGGATCCGTTCTATTTGGGGATTGTCTTTTTGGTGTGGGGCTTGCACTTCGTGAGTTATGACTCTTGTAGGAGACCCTGGGGCACCACAGTCACCTAGACTAGCAGTGTCTCTATGGCAAATGTCTGAATGTTGACCTAAGTGGGGGAAATAAAGACTTTACCTGAGTTTGAGTTAGATTTGACCACTAAATATATTTGTGAAGCAAATGTATAAAGAAAAAAGAAAGATTTTTCAGAGCTTTGATTATTTTAAATTACTGCTAAGGGATCATTCTTAATCCTGCCTTTGTAACTCAATCAAATCATTTTCTAAGCCCTAATCAGATTAATATTTCAGAAAACAAATTAGACTCTAAGTCTCCAAACTCAGCCATCTTGTAGTTTATTCTGTGACATGGGCACAGTTCCCTGACATGACTCGGAGGGCACAGGTTTATAATGGACAAAGTCCATCCCACCTGTGTGCTGGAAAACAGCAGTAGTTTCGGGTCCTGCTCATTGCTGGAGCAAGTGGTCGGCATTCTGAACCCAGTGTTCTTGTTCATTAAGAACAAGGCTCTTGGGTACTGGAGACAGACCTGTTAAAAGCGCTTGCTGTTTCAGAGGGTCAGAGTTTGGTTCCAGCACCCTCCCCTGGAGGGTAACCACCACCTGTGACTCCCAGGGGATCTGATGTCCTTCTCCTACCTCCTCAGGCCTCCGCGGGCACCTATATGTGTGTGTGAATACATGCACACAGAAAAAAAAAATTCAAACTGTTGGTGACAGAGCAACATATTCATCAATTTGGGGTGAGCTTTCACTAGATTCTGTATCTTTCCAGTTAAATCTATTCATTGCTTGTTGTCTTCTTAGGTCAGTCCAGTTATGAATGAATAGGGCTGCCCCCGGAAAAGAGGTCAATGGCCTCTAAGTGTGAAGGCAGCAATGCCAGGTGTTTCACGTCTGTATAAGCAAAGCACTGTAAAATAGCCCGGCTGGATTAATCACCTGCCCCAAGGCCATGTTGTATTATTTGTGACCACTTTCAAACATTCTCCAGAGTGACTAATGAGCCCTGGAAGTGTGTTGTTGCTTCACTGATAGATAACTCATGGAGCCTCTTCTGTGTAATCAGAATTAATGCGTATAGCCATTGATCATGAAGGTCGTAGTTGTGAACTGCCTGTGGGCTTTGTGTGTCTCACATTGCTAGCTAGTTAAATACGTTAATGAAATAATCAATTATGGTTATAAGAAAATACTTTCCTCTATTTTGTATATTTTCTTAAGAAACTAAATAAAACTCAATTTTGGTATTCTGGGAAAGTAGACCTTGATTTGTGATCTGAAGCCAGGGCCATTTGGTTTGTTCAGTTCATATGTCTTTATATCTTTCATGTACTCTAGAACTTTCTCTGGAAAATAGAATTTTGAAATATAGAACATCATCCTAATAATTATGAGTAATAATTCACAATCTGATTTTACCTATGACAGAGCTAAGCCAGGCAGTGGGATACAAGCCAATTGTAATGGCCTTGAGACAGTTCTGTCTCCTTGTTTTGTTTTTAAGACTGGCCTAAAACTTGCTATGTAGACCGGGCTGGTCTCAAATTCACAGAGACCCGCCTCTGTCTGCCACCCTGCTGGGTGTGAAGGTGTGCGTCACCCCACCCAATCCATTTCTCTCCATTTTGTATCCATTCAAGAAAACTTGCTAGGTAGCACTGTGTGTGGAGATATACCATAAATCTACCCTATTAAAGTCACTTACAGATGCAATACTGTGGCTCATTTTATTATCCTTGTACTTCATGCTGATCATAATTAAAGATCTTAATAATGACAGCAAACGTTAATACCAGCCACATATCATGTTAATGGAGCACTTACTGTCAGCTGCTGTAGGCGTCCAGGCTCGTTTCACTGCCATAGACACACAACGTCAAGAGTGGTGCTGCTCTGCCTTTACAGATGGGAGGACTCCACGGAGGTGTCTGGAGACTGAGTAAACAGACCGGGCACAGGGAGCCAGGCCTCTGGCTTGCACGGGCTTTATTGCCTTCAACTCTGCACTCCCTGCAGATACAGTAGCATCTCAACTGTCCAGGACCCCATTCTGAGCAGCTTTTGCTGTCTGAAAGCAAAGCTGAGACCACAGAAGAGACCAGGGAAGCAAAAGCCATTTCAGAATTTAAAATGAAGGGAAGAGCCCCTTGTGAGGGCTTGTGGGTGATCCAGAGCCACCACTGCTGGGCTCCGTGCTGTCTTTGGATCGTTAGTAACTCAGTCTAACCCCGTCACATACTTGAGAAGTGTGCTGCTTACAATTCCTCCTTGTTATCAGTAAAGGAGATGGAGTGGAGGTTAACGTGTGAGAATTTAAAGGTCTCCCAATGAAGGGGGAATCTATGCTTGCAGTGGGCTAATATTTATCTGTCTAGAACTATTCAAGTTTTAGATAACAGAAAAGATCTAGGTATAGAAGAGACAGTACTTAGACTATATAGCTCTTAACGTATGAAGATAGAAAATACCATGTTAAAAATGCATTTTTGTTGTTTTGTTTTTTGACTAAGAAGGCAAAGCTTGGTTGTAAGAGAAATTGCTAACACTTGATCATTTTCTAATCATGTTCATTTCTTCTAGATCACTCCTTTGATGGCTTCAAAAAGTCCAAGCATGCCCCAACGTCCCTTGCTGCGGGCCAGCTCTCTGACGTGCTGAATGGGGGTGATGAAGTCTATGCTAACTGCATGGTGATTGATCAGGTAAGGCATGCTGAAGTGACCAGGGGTATAGGAACCACTTTCCAAAATGAGAAATGAGAGAGAGAGAGAGAGAGAGAGAGAGAGAGAGAGAGAGACAGAGAGAGAGAGAGAGAGAGATATTTTTTCTTGTGATCATTTGAGAATTCTAGCTTAAGCCCCACCCCTAAGCTTTAACTAGGATTCTTCCTTGGTATAGAGAATACCTTACTCCACCAAGAAGCACTGGAAGGGAAGGGCCTTGAGTATAGCCAGGAGGAATGAGAAAGCTCTTTGGTGCAGCTGTACAGTAAATGGCAACGTGTGGCCAGTATCATTCATAGAGCTTTTCAGTAAGTGCTGTGTCTGTGTATATGGCGAAGTATGTGTTTAAATCAAGCAGGCAGAAATGAGTAGGTAGACACCTGATCCCAGCCCATCTCATGTGATCGTCTTTCATCCTTGTAACATGCGAGCCGGTGTGTATTGAGATTGTAGAACTTTGATGTGTTGAGAGTTCAGTGACTAGTCACGGGGAAGCTGGACCGTTTAGAATATCTCCACTCCTCACCCAATTTAGAGACTTGTGGGCTTGAGCTCAGAGCAGAGCTTAGATACATCAGCTCTACTCAGCTTTGGTTTGGTTCTTCGACTCAGTCACCTTGAAGCTTTTCAGTATTTGCAAATTTCAATATTCTTATAAATGTGAATGCTTTTTCACATCCTAATTTGGTGAAATTTTATGGAATTTTCTTGGATAATTGTCAGGAGCCATTTCCCCCCAAAAATATTGCAGGGACCATTGTCCTAGGGAGTTTGCAGAGAGCCCCACACCCCAACGGTATTTACAACTGTTTTTATTGGCAGAGCCTACCCCACACGGAGGCTTTAACAAGAACCTAGCTTGGCCTCCTTCCTTTCTCCCGCCCATGTCTTTTCAGATAGGGCCTCTCCGGGGCCCTGGAATAACTGACCAGCCAGGCGGGTCACAACCCCTAGACTAACTGACCCACCAAGGTGGTCTACAGATAATTTTGATAATATGAGATTCCTGCTACCTTGAAAAGTAATCTCCTTATAGACATGCCATACACACATGTACACATGTACACATGCACACAAACATAGGCATTCGCACGTGCACACACACACTAAATGCACACTAAGGTGTTTTCCCATTTTCTTGTCTAGTAGATCTCTGCTTCGACCTGTAGTAGAGTGCTCCACTCCTCTGCTTTAGTGTCATGAAGCAGGGTTGCAATAAATGCATACTATAAATTGCAGAGTGCTGGGGTGGAACCCAAAATGATAGAGAAACTAATAAATCAGAGTTGTTACCAACTGTAAGTAGCCAGTGTGGCCGTCTTGGCATAAGGCATCTGAATGTGAGCCATAGGTACAGAAGTCTAGGTTGGAGTGTGGTGTGAGTCCTTCAGGTTCAGGATGATCAGCCTGTGTGTCTTATTAGCAGATATTTACATGTCAGGTTTATTATATCCGTGGTGAAGTATAAGATTTATTTTCTAGCCCTTTGCAGGGATAGTTGACAAAGATGATATGTGTTGAAGTCTACAGGGTGATGTGTTGAGATGCATGTGAATTGTGAAGGGCGAATGATGCTTCTATGCCGTGGGAGCAGAGACAGTTCTTGAGGTTGGATTTCCCCAGATATACCCAGAACGGGGCTTCTGGATTGTATGGTGGTTGTGTTTTGAATTTTTTTTTTTTGAAGAATCTCTGTTGTTTTCAATGATGAGCGTGCTAATTTACATCTTCTGTCAGCAGCTTGCCAGGGCTTCCTTCTCTAGCTCCTCTCTAAGTCTCTCCTGCTGCCTTCTGGTGACAGAAAGCTGTAACATGACACACACTTTGCTGTGGGTTTGGTTTGCACTGGTGTCAGAGGACATCTTTTCATGTGCATGGCACCCGTTAGAGAGTCTTCTTTGGGAAAATGTCTGTTTAGGCCCTTTGCTCATTTAAAAATGAACTGTTATCACTGAGTGTGTGTGTGTGTGTGTGTGTGTGTGTGTGTGTGTGTGTGTTATATGTGTGCATAAACCACAGTGTGAATGTGGAGGTCAGAGGATACCAGGTCTTTTTCCCTGCGAACATAAGGCTATCTTTGCATTTCTCTATGTCTTCCTGAAATTCTTTCAACAGTGTTTTATAGTTTTCAGAATACAGATATTTCTTGTCTTCATGAGATTATTATTATTTTCTTGCATTATCTCTATAATTTCAGTGCACTTTTCGAGTCTTTATTCCATCTTGTTCTAAGCCTCACTGGACAGATTATTGATCCTACTTTGATTTTCCCAACTATTGTGAATGTTTCAACTTTATGTGGGGAAATTGTTATTATAATATTAAAAAAATGCACTGAAATTGAAAAAATCCTCAAAGATGAACCTAGGTTATAATTTTCGTTTGTGACTACTTTAGGTGAGAGAAATGCTGCTTTAATAAGATGAAACAAACAAGAAAAAGAGAACACAGACAGCCCAATTCAGTAAGCATAGTAAAGGATCGCTGAATTTGTACAGTTAAGACAAACTTGGCTCGCTTGGCTGGCTGGCCAGCAAGCTAAGGCGTCCTTCATCTCTTTCCTCCCGCTGTCAGGGTCACAGATACACACCACCATGCCTGGCTTCTCTGTGGGGTCCCCAGCACTTTACCAACTGAGGTATTCCCCTAGCCCTTCCTGTTACTTGTAGCGTTCCATTTGCCGCCTGGAGCATTTGTATTGGTTTTTGTCATAGTAGATTATTAAGATGATGGTTGATGATCGAGGACCCCAAAAACCCCACTCACTCTGCCTTTCCCTCCCCTTTATCCCTTCACTCTTTGGTGCTAGGAATGGAATCCAGGGCTTTGTGTTTGCTAGGCTGCTCTCACCACGGAGCAGAGTGCCTCCTGCAGCCTCCAGTCCCCTCTACAGGGGTGTGGCTCTCTTCCTTTTCACTGCCTGTTCCTGAGAAATGATGCCTTTGGGCCACCAGCCCTAATTCACAAGCACATGTAAGCCCATGTCTCAGAGCAAGGGTTCCGATCAGCCAGAGCTCTTTTCCTGTGTGCAGCGGGGACTTCTGTCTATGATAGGTTTCAGGTGCCCCTCTGACTTCCTGCTCTTTCTCCACTGTTTCTTCCCAGGCCTTTCCTACTCTCTGATGAGTGTTCTGCTATGAATACAGTGTTGCTTGTTGGCTTTCTTGCTTATTTATTTGCAGGTAATTTGAGGTTTGAGCATTAAAAAAACCTTCTGGTTATACAATGTGCTTTATGTAGTTTGAGTTATTAGTGATGTTTATTAGGGAACCTCAGACTTCTGTACCCACTGGGACGATTCTTATGAACTGTGTTTTGAATAGAGCTCGTACTCTTTGGTGTTTTCTCAGGTGTTTAATAACATATGCCCCTCATTTTGAGGTAGTGGTTCATAAAGTGTTAAAAGGACAGCCAGGTTCTGCTTAGGTCACAGGCTAGGAGGCATTTTTTATTTTTTTGAGAATTATGGGAAAGTGATAGAGGATCATGGGATAGATCACATGAACACAAACATATTGGAATTCTCTGGTTACATAAAGCACAAATTAGAAGAAAAAAATAAATGTGGTGGAGATGTTTTTTTTTAACTCTTGGGGTTTTGTTGATTTTAATCAAACCACCCTTTCCTGCTTTCATTTGGCACAATGTTCTCTTCCAATGTCCAGGTTGGCGATTTGGACATCAACTACATCAACATAGAGGGACTCTCAGCCCATACGAGCCCCGAATCCATGAGGTCCACTCTGGGGCCTCAGGCTTGCAGACACATCCCTCCTCCTGACTGCAGTCCCTGTGGGCATCCACTCGGTGAGGACAGTGAGGGGCCGGCGAGCACGGCAGCCCTGCAGCCCTGCCTGTCACCGGCCAGCTCCTGCACTTCTCAGCTGAACCTTCCTTTTGGTCTTCATGAATTTGAGAAGGAGCAGGGTCATCTCAAGAAAAGAAGGTAAGATGTTTCTCTCTGGAGGAAAACTGCAGGGAACGAGGAAAAGGTTTCTTTTTAAAGATTGTCCCCATCACTCTTTCTCTATATCAAAATGCTATCTCCCTTTTGTTTCCTGTATATCTTCATTTGAAAGAAAGGCAGTTAAGAAAGCCAACAAAAATGCAGGAGAGGAAAACCACAATTCTGAGTATTAGTAGATTGGTAGAAATTGAAAAGTCTGACATTGCCAAGATTGTGACATGAACTCAATGGTGGCTGAGGGAAGAGCATCGTGTAACAAGTTTGGAAAATGATTTGCATCGTCTTGTCACTACTGTTGACCAGTAGACCACCACATCAGAATTTGTAGCAGAAGGAAATAACTCAGCTGGGAGCTAGACGTGTAGCTATACCTCGTCTTAAACTATTAATGGAATGCTGTACAGGTCAAGAAAATGAATTAAATACAAGTGTGTATATATGGTGTACATCTCAAAGACATGAAGATGAAAAAAGGAAACTACAAACAGATTTAATTTTCACAGAATGCAAAATAAGACAAACGATTGCATAGCGCATAAGCTATAAAGAGAAAGAAGAGAATGGGGAAGGAAAAAAAAAATCCCTAATTTCAAGACAGTTGTGGGAAAGCGGAAGGAGAGTGAGCCAGAGCAGACTAGAAGGACTTTGCCTGGACTTGTTTTTCAAGCTGGGTGGCTCATAAAGGCTCTGTTTTTTTCTGGTACACATAAAATATCATTTTAAAAAGTACTATTTGCTGGGTGGTGGTGGCGCACGCCTTTAATCCCAGCACTTAGAAGGCAGAGGCAGGTGGATCTCTGTGAGTTCGAGGCCAACCTGGTCTACAACAGCTACTGAGAAACCCTGTCTCAAAAAAACAAACAAACAAAAAAGTACTATTTTACATGTTGTAATGACATATATTTATATATGTTTATGCTATCTGTGTCTATGTGTCCATTTTCTTTAGGAAATAATCCGGTTTCCACTTTCCTTATGGGTTAATCTACTTTTCTCTCGTGTTCTAACCCTGTGATTTTGTGTTCATGTTCACGTGTGAAGTTATGAATCAGTGAATTTAGCATATACACATGTGTATCTAAATGTTTATCTATAAATGAACATGCATGTAGACAAACAGATACTCAGAAGAGCTATAGTTGACCAAGCAGAGATGAGGAGGAAACCAGTGTCAGTGGACACCATCCACTGGGTGTATTTCTATATGGATCTACAGACTGAGTTTTTTTATTGAAGGCTATTTTGGCCATAAGTCCTAAAATCCTCACTTCAGGTTTGTGTTTTATCTTATGGTTTTGTAGATGCTGGAGAGAGGTTATTTTCATTGCATTGTAGGGTCTTTGGGGCTTTGAACTTGTGCACTGGGGTAAGAAGCTGTCAGTGTAGGCCAGACTCCATACAGCCCCACTGTGTGTGATTTGATACATTCTGGCAGAATTATTTGGGTCTGTTAAGTGCCCTTCAGATCTCAAGAAGTGGGTTGCTTAAAGAGCCATTTGAGAAATATAAGGCAGAAAAAGTACAAATGGTTATTCTGCTCTCTTTATGAAAATATTCCCAGAACTTCAAATTGATGTCTTCGTGTTCTGTTGCGGAAACTTTTCTTGCTACAGATAGTTTCCTTTTTATAATAACAGAAAAACTAAGCCAGCACTCAGGAGGCAGAAGTAGGAAAATGGCAAGTTCAAGGTCAGCTTGGGCTACACAGAACTATCTAAACATATCTACATACCTACACACTTGCACACACACACACACACACACACACACACACACACTTGTTATTGGAAGAAGTAGAAGCTGTTCTCCCCAAAACACTCTTTACCAGCACTCTTCCAGTCTTGAGAAATGAGAATAGTGACTGGGATAGAAGGGGGCTGATGGCTGCAGATATTTCTTTTTAGCCTTGAGATGACTCCTGTCAGTGAATGCTGTCATGGAGTGAAGAGCCTGAGCGACAATAAACCGTGGTGAAATTTAGTAAGAGAACAATATCGTGAGAGACCAGGAACTTCTAACAAAAGTGGAATTTGTGGGTCAAAACTGTGGATGATATAGAGACAAGGTTAACCAAGACAAATCCTACATTTCCTGAGGGTCAGAGCAATATTAAATGGGGCAGCACACACTAATCCCGATGCTGCAGCTCTCTGCCCGCTCCGTATCTGTATGTTACAGCAGGATTTTCCCTTTTGGGAAGTCTGGGTTTACCGTGACATACAAACCAGTCTGCCGTCTTACCGGGAGAGGAATGGCTGTCTTTGGCTAACTGTCTTAGTCACGGTTGACCTACTTTCCCGAAGGAGACAATAACAAGTTGTGATAACATTTGCTCTGTGACAGATAACTTGCAGTTAAGTTATTCCTTTTCCCAGTTCTTTCTCAGCTATAGTCAAGGTATTTGGAATGAGTCGGGGTTAGAAACTTATCTAATTATAAACATGGAGTAAGAACTCTGTCTGAGAGTCACAGTTATGAAATCAATATTTCACTATTATATGACCCATGTTTTTTAAAAAAAAAAGCCAAAAGAGATAATTTAAATTTTCATCTTCCATTGTTTGTAGTTCCAACAAGATGGTTTTCCAGTGTTGTGTTGGATGAAAACGTCATCCTCTAGCACTATTTGTTATAATACATCCATGGCCACTCATGGCCTTGATGCTTGATGGAATGGTTTAAAATGTAAGTGCTATGAGGGACTGGACCTTGAAAGTGTGCAGTCACATTCTGTCCTTTGATGCTGTGGTTATGAACGTTAAATAGGAGGAAAGAAGTTGTAGTCAGGCAGAGGAAATCTTTGCTCCTGTCTGAGACAGAATCCCTAGCGGGAAGTCTCTGAAAGTGACCATCTCACTTTGACATGCTTGAGGCTTGACACGCAGTGAATCTCTGACCCTTGTCTTGTCCCTCTGAGGTGAACCCTTCACGGCACTCCCCTCTTACACTCACCTCTGCCCGTCTGGCTTTCCAACTGCAGGGATGGTAACTCTATTGTCCCTGTGTCATTGCCCAGAGGCTGCTGTGCGAACAGCCCTGTGGATCAGCATCCCTGGCATGTTCAGTATGTGAAGGGTGGCTTATATAGGGCTGGTAATGGTGCTTTACAAAACTTTTGTAAAGTCACTGAAATGGAGTATCAGGCTATTTTAGGCTACCAACCAGCTCCCAAATCATGACACATGGATTTCTTATTTGTTTTGAATGCTCGACCTTAGCTTAGCTCTTTACTGGCTAGCTCTTTTAACTTAGCCTGCTTCTGTTCATCTGCCTTTGCCTTGGGGTGTTTCACTTTTTTCTTTCTGAATATCTTCCTTTCACTGCTTCTCTGTGTCTGGCTCGTGTCTGCCTGGCTTCTTGCCTGGGTGTGCTCTTTCCTCCTCTCTCATTCTGTTCTCCCCTCCTGAGCCTAGATTTCTCCTCCTTTTTAATGTCTCTGCCCGCCAGACTTGCCTGTCCCTCCCCTGCCTAGCCATTGGCCATTCAGCTCTTTATTAGACCAATCAGGTACCTTAGGTAGGCAAGGTGAAACAAATTCAAAACATCTTTACATAATTAAAAACACATCTTTACATTTTTAAAACAAATGCAGCATGAAGAGAAGCAACACACCTTTACACGGTTAAAGTAATATTCTGCATCATAAACAGATGTAACACATATTTGCCTAATTAAAATAATATTCTACAACATGGGTTTTTCCAGGTAGGACCATCCACTTGGGGACACATGCAATTTTGTTTAAAGGACTGGTGATGTGGCCCCACAGGTAGAGGTACTTGCCACCAAGCATGACATCCTGACTGTGATCCTCAGGTTCCATATGGTGGTAGGAGAGAACTAACTCTTGTGGATTGTTCTCTGACTTGCGTGTGTGTATGTGCAGGTGGCACCCCCCCCCACTTGTGCACAAAGGGGGAAAAAACAATAAAAATGTTTGTTGGAAAAGTTATAAAAAGCAGTATCAGTGAGAAATTACATGGCGCTCATTGCCTCTCACACCAATGATAGGATCTGAACACAGAAAATCAAAACCCAGCATCTGTCTGACTGTTCACCGAATGATCTGTTTCATGCTCTAGTTCCAGCCTGGATGCCCTGAATGCCGACAGTGAGGGGGAAGGGCATTCTCAGCCCCCCATCTGCTATGCTGTGGGTTCCTCAAGAACGGGGCTTCCTAGTGGAGATGAACTGGATTCTTTTGAGACCAGCGCTGAAGCAGATTGTAATATCTCCAGGACCGAATCACTTTCCCTATCCAGTACTCTGCATTCAAAGGTATTCTCCTCGGTTTTAGCTCGACTTACTATAAATGCACAGAACATGTTTTCAATGCCCCCACCTCCACCTACAGGACAGGTTCTGTCTTCTTCCACAGGACAGACACTTGTGTTGGGAGGGACTTTGGTGACCTCTGATTTTTAATCTCCATGACTCCATTTTAATTTTTACGTTTCTAGCAATTGGTTGATGTTATTGACTCACAAGCAGTACGTCCCATTTTTACATACTTGGGAAATGTTACTGTTTCAGTTAATATTCCTGCTCTCCTTCTTGCCACAGAGTGAGGCAAACCGGTGATACTGGGTTCAAGGGGTCAAGCTTGCTTATGCAAGAATCTTTAGTCTGGTCCAGGCGAGGAGGTAGATGATGTCAGTAAGTCAGAGGTGACGTTTACTGGGTGTTCCTGGCTTCACGAGCCAATCTCCAATGTTTCTCACTTCATCATTTTGAAGTTTAATTTTTCTTGATAATTTCATGAGTTTCGTGGACTCATGGGGGCTCACAGAAACTGAACAACAAGCAGGGAGCCTACATGGGGCTGACCTAAGCTCTCTGCATGTATGTATGTTAGAGTTGTGTAGTGTGGTCTTCTTGTGGGACTCCTCACAGAGGAAGCAGGGGCAGTCTTCAACTCTTTTACAGGTTTTTTTTATAGTTTTAAAAACAAATACTTTAATTTAGTTTCTCAAAGCAAACTCTTCTGTTTGAACATACTTATTTTTTCTATTTGAATTCTGTTATAGTTCAGTCATTTTTCTCTTAAATTATATTTATTCACTACTGTAAAACAATGTGTGAAATGCCAAGGTTCTCCCCAGAACATGGGGTTAGTAAGATAAGATCTTACCTTTGCAGTGTACCTTGTAATGTACCAAATGGTTTTATGTATGTGAAAAATACAGAGGTTTTTCTTAGCCCATCTAAAACGTAAATAGCACTTTTATTTTATGTTTTGAAAGCATTAGAGTTTTGACTAGGTGGCCCCAGATTGGTCATATACCATTATTAAAATTAAGGTCTTCTAACCTCCATACTGAATCCATTTTCCTGTGTCACCTGGAAATCTATGCTTATCTTTCGAACCTGAATATCATATGATAATTCTGGATAATAAGAATAGAAGTGTGGATGAATACTAATTCAAGAAAAAGATGGATATGGTTGTGAATGCTAATGCTACCTAGTTTTGAATGGAATGTGAAAACCTTATCATCATTCCTTGGAATGAAATACAGCTCTTTGGAAACAGTTTCTCGTTGATCTGAAAGAAGATTTTTGCTGTGAAGCGCAGCTTCTCTTGCTCTGTAATTACTCAGCATAGCATCGCCAAAAGATTTTGGACAGTTTCCAAAGTTCCATCGTCATGAACAGCGGTTACCGTGCACGATTTAAGAGAGAGGATGGCTTCTGGTGGGTTCCTTGTGGCCAGTTCCCTACTCAGTTAGATTACAGCTCAACATTCGGGGACTCCGCCTCTGGGCCCAGTGGGTGCTTCTAGATAAGGCACCTAAGCCAAGGCCCTTTGAAGCCAGGGGAGACTTCTGTGATCATCTCTGCCCTGAGCTCTTCAACCAGTGGCTGCCAAGGAACCAGTTGTTTTTATTTAGGAAGACTAGGCAAGACCGACTCTCATGCAGGACAGTTTGTGATAGCTTAATTTTAGCAAAGAATTCTTTATCACTTTCTCTTACCTTTTACTGTAGATGACACCTCAAAAATACACGGGCTGGATTCAATGCTAAGGCCTCTGTGAAACAGGAGTTAGATACCATAAATGACTTTAGTAAATTTCTATTTCATATTCATCTAAAATTTCTGGAACATGTAAGAAAACTGTGTTTTAATTATCTTGACAGCTTTCATTTTTATGTATGTTGCAAATATAATAATAGAAATTGCAAAACAGAAACAAAATGATGGGTCATTAAAAGGAATGATATTAAAGTCATATAAATCATTGATAGCATCACTCTGGGAAATACAGATAGAATGTTTATTAAACAATGGGCCCAGAGGAATAGGATTCACATGGACTTTCTCTAGAGGCCATAACTAACCCTGTAAATTTAAACAGCCATTTGAAAGCTTAAAACCTCTTATAATTAGGCATAGGTATTTCTCTACCTTCTAAAATTGCTTAAGGAAAGAGAGCTCGGTTAGTATATAATTTTGTTTAAATGCTGAAGTGTAAACTAACAAAAAAAATAATAACCTCTGTAAAAACAAATTAATACCATGGCTGAACATTCAGAGAAAAAGTTGTGTGATTTAATTTTCTCATTTTTAACGAAGTTGTTGAAATGGTCCAAAGGTATTCCTTTACATGGATGAGAACTCCCCTACAAAACTTAAGTTTATCAGGGCTTAGATGAAAAGGAGAACACTGGAAAAGCTTTGAGAGGCAAACAGAGGAAGTTATTAAGAAGGTCATGTAAGAAAAGAGATGGCGGGTGCAGATCTCTTATCCCAGCCACATGGGAGACCAAGACTAACCCAAGATCAGTGCCAGCCTGGGCAACTTAGTAAGCCCATGTCTCACAAGGCGCTGTAGAACGTGGACTGAGAATGTAGCTCAGTGATAGAGTGCCTTCCAGCATGCACAATACCCTGGGTTCGATTCCCAGGACAAAGAAATAGCTGCCTGGATGAAGTGCACGGGTTGGGGCTTTGTTTCCGTGATGGTGATTACATAACGCCGCATTGTCTCTTAGGAGTCCCTGCTTTCTGGGATTCGCTCGCGTTCATACTCCTGCTCATCACCCAAAGTCTCTGTCGGGAAGTCCCGGCTAGTGCGTGATTTCACAGTGTGCAGTTCCACCGAAGGTAAGCGCTGTCTGCATCTGACTCCACACTCATTCGGTTCCCAGAGCAGGCGTCCTGCTAGTCTACGTACATAAAACATACAGGGACTGCAGGCCAGCTCCAGCTTTGCCTCCACAACCGATTCCTCTGAGCCTTGTTGGACGTCAGCTCTTATAGATTTCATTTTGATAAAACTATACATACGTTCCCACTTCTCTGTTGTTTTAGTTTAATAAAACGTTGCTCTCTGGGATGGTGCGAACAAGAACGGACTTCAGGGATATTCTGTGAGGGCCTTAGAGGATTTTACTTAAGTGGAGTCTGAGAATTACTTTTGTCCTGTATGGATGGTGCTAAGAAACAGCAACTCTGAGGCAGCCCAGCATGGCAGATTGGAGGTGCCTCCTTCCTGATTTAGCCTAGGGCTTGGGAGAGCTGAAATAATAGTGTGTTCACGGTACCAATAGCTACATCTCAGCCTCTGAAGAAAGAACAGCCATGTAAGAAAGCAGAAACATAACTTTTATCTGATAAACTTTTATTAAAATAGAGCATAGCTGCAAGAAACAAGGCACTGAATGCTGTGAGTATGTTGAATTTTCAAAAGTGAATTCTGCCCTCCAAATAGAAAAGTTATGGGCAGTGTAGAGCTCTCCTGGAGGCTGCTCTCCTCCACTGCCCTCAATTTAAACTTTGCTTTGACATGTAATTGCTTCACACTTCCCGTGGACAGATTATGTGTAATAGTCACATTTAAAGACTGATGTGGGAGTGTTCGTGTCTGTGTGACATGCCCAATAGTTTAATAAAAAAAATAAGTTCATCAGACCATGCCCGATTATCTATTTGAGTCCATCCAAAGCAAGCTGCTGGTTCAGGACTCTCCGCTCCCTCAGCACGCAGTGTGTAAGGTTCCTCCTCTTTCCCTTTCGTTTTCTTACTTTGTTCTGGTGTTAGTACCAGTTTGCGGTTTTTGACTTAGTTTCACACTATTGCTATTTGGAAAGCATACTTGAATCATCCATTCCTTGTGCGGTATGGGTGCCTCGCTGTTAGAACTGCGGTTCCTCCTACCTGGAAGGTTTGAGATCAGTGACCTGATGACGGAAAGGAAATGGACAGCTCAGGAAAAAGTACCTTGAGCTATACATTTTAAATAAAAGCTTAAATCTCTGCATTTGAAATAGAAGGAATAAAAAGATGACATCAGTTCCTTTTTTGCCCTGTTAGACTATAAATATAATCTCTAAGCAGTGTGTTTAAAAACAGGGCTAGTTGAATGAAGTTTTAAAGCATTCAGAAGGTAAGAGTTCGAACCAGGTGATTTAGCTTGATGCAACACGCACACACACACACACACACACACACACACACACACAGAGAGAGAGAGAGAGAGAGAGAGAGAGAATATATTGAGGATTCCAGTGGATAGAAACTGTACAGTTGCCAGTGTCTCCATTGATACCATACCGTTCATGGGTCAGCCACACCCATTGGACACAAAGGATAATTTACTGTTTAATGGAGAAGAAATAATTTTGACTGTGTTCATATAACCAAAACACAGGCATAAAAGCTTGTCTAGTTCAAGGAAATATTCAGATTTTTATTGTTTAGTGTGCTAGAATGAATCAAAAGTAAATTGATATTAGCTTTGCTGTTACTTCTCCCTTAATGAATTTTGCATAGTACTAAATTTTTCTCGATTTGAACAGAGAGCAAGTCTCCATTTGCCCCAGGGGGATGCTTTCTGGTGTGAGACATAATACAAATACCCAAATTTAGGATGTATTTGTGCTATTTTTCATTCTTTTAAAAACTTTTTAATTTATTTATTTGTGCATGTAGCTGTTTTGCTTGCATGCAAGTATATGCACCATGTGCATGTCTGGGGCCCAGGGAGGCCAGCAAGATATCAGATCCCTTCCAACTGGAATTAGAGATGGTTGTGAGCCACCCTGTGGGTATTGGGAATTGAACTCATGCCCTCTGAAAGAGTAGCCAGTGCTCTTAACCACTGAGCCATCTCTTCTTCTTAATCCTTTTTAAAATCTTTGATTTATATTTAATTTATGTTGTATTGTAGGTATGTGCCTGAGTGTGTGTGTGTGTGTGTGTGTGTGTGTGTGTGTGTGTGTGCCCATGTGCACAGGTACCTGGGACAGTAGTGATCTACCCAGTGAATGCTGGGAACTAGATTCATGTCCTCTGCTGGAGCAGTGAGAGCCTTAACTACAAAGCCACCTCCCCAGCCCTTCTTTTCTAGCTCTTATTTGGCATATTTTTTCTTATTAGTTCTGAAGTTACTTCTTTTTCTTTCTCATGCCTTCTTTTTTTTTAAGTCAAGTGTTTAATGGCAGTAACTTCAATACTTGATTTTTATATACCTAAAATAAAACCCAGCTTTATAGTTTCCTTTGGTACTTGGTGGCTTTCTATAAAAGAAATGTTGTCAATATCATAATGATAACTTCAGCCTCACTGTGAAGGCCAAATATAGAGATCCGAGCACTCGAGAGGCAGAGTCAGGCGGATCTCTTTGAGTTTGAGGCCAGCCTGGTCTATAGAGTGAGTTTCAGGACAGGCTCCAAAGCTACAGAGAAACCCTGCATCGAGAGAGAGAGAGAGAGCGAGAGAGAGAGAGAGAGAATAAAGAAAAGAATTTGTAGAGTGACGTCATACTTTAAAAGTTGCTATAAACTGATGGATGGAATCCAATTAGATTGTGACCAGTTTCTTTATAATGGGCTGTGTAAGTTGATAGGCTTGGCTCTCTTACTTTCTTGGAACGCCACTCTATTTATTTATAAGAACAATGACTTTATTTGAAAAACATTTTGCAATGACCATAAAAAGCCTTTGATTTTTCTCAAAGTACATTTTTCTATTACATCCAAGAACTCAGGGGGTATTTATTTACATGGTATGCGTAACTGGCACATCCTCCTGTATTCCTATTCCCACCTCTTCTCCCACTCTGCATGGTGTTGGTGAAGGATTGCCCTTCTCTGTGGGTGGTGTTCTCCTCGGTGCCCACTCCCTCCCACCCTCTCTCCAGGTCTAACTCGGCGTCCCCTTTCATCCCCATAGTGAGTATTCTGAGTCTGTAAATAGGATGGCACCCTGTTTGCAGAAACCTGTCCTTCTGCCCCAGCAGGTCAATGGGGAGGGTGGTTCTTCTTCCCCACCAGCCACAGAGTGTATCTCTGATTGGGCTGCTTGAGGATGTGACCTTGGAGTTGTGTTGAGAAAGACCCTTCCCCGTGCTGGCCTTCAAGGTGTCCATGGAGCTTTGCTGAAAAGCAGCAGCTTATCGATCACCTGTGTTGGGGGTTGGTGTTACTAATAAAGGGTGGTGTCCAAGTGAGAAGTACCCTAAATTAGCCAGTTTTCCATACTGTTTGCAAACCACGGGCTTCCCTTTGTTGGGGCTAACACACTCCCTGAAGTTACTGAATTGACCTCTTCTCCTCCAAACCAGGGAAAGCATTAAAACCTCACATGCAGAAGGTCAGTTCTCGCAGGTTTTCTAACTGATAGCGTACAAAATTAATTATATCTAATTAAATTAATTAGTCTTAAAGTTTGGTGAACATGTGCATCTCAGACTGACAAGTGGCTGCTGTCTGTCTTAGCTTCCTTATTAATTAATTGATTAATTTATTTGTGTGTGTGCCTTACAGAACAGAGATCATATAGTTTTACGGAGCCACCAGGAGAAAAAAGGTACGTTGAGGGTTCTCCTTTCTTTGGGGTCTACTGACCTGTCTTTGCAAATGTCTGTACATCACTTTTCCTCTGTGTCCTATAGTTGGTGAGAGGTTTCTGTGTCATAAGCTACCCAAGACCTGTTGTTCCCTCTCTGGAGTCAGTATAGCCAGCCAGATGTGATGTCTGTTTTCCATCCTCAGGGGTACAGGCTGCAGGGCTGGGGACAGGGGGTTCTGTTTTAGGTTCTTTTCAGGTCTGAACATCTCAAGGGGCTGTGAGGACCTCAAGCTTCACTTGTTGCAGGATTTCTCTGCCTCTGCTCTACCTCTAGAAGACTCTCTGTAGCTCCAGTTGCTCAGGTGGTTGTGGAAAGCCCAGAAACTTGCCTGCCCTGCCCTCTGTGGTTCTCTGCCTAGCAGTGTTGGGCCTGATGCAAGTGCTGCCTTCAGCACCGCCAGGCTTCTGCTTAGTATGTAGATCTGAGGCTTGAAGCGCAGGCTGCTGTCTATCCCATGTAAAGCTGGTGCCATAGCCAAGCCTGGGAAGAGACCAGGATGCAAGTGGGAGGGAGGGCTGAGTTCTATTGGCCTTGAACACCTAGCTGGTGTTATTAGCCCTGGACTTGCTACAGAGCAAGTGACAGAAATGGCAGTCAAGGTGGGCTTTACAGGCTCTCTGGGAAACAGTGAAGCAGTTTTCACTTTGGTGGCATGAATCCTAGCACTCTGGAATCTTTTAACATCTAGGTGAAGATGAGTGTTTTGCTTTAAAACCTCCCGATGAAAGTAGCGGTAAGAAAACGGCAGTTTGGGTTCATTTATATTGTTTTAGACAAGAATAGAAAGTTCCAGATACACGAACACAGGAAAACTAAGAATGCCATTGAAGGAGGGGGTGATGACGAGGATGGCATTAACAAAGATGTTGATGACAATGGTGACAGCCGAGGCAGTAGTAACTGACAATTCCTGGGTGATCGTGTGGGCCTCCTGCTGTTCTAAGCAGTTTATATTTAAAAAGTCTGTTCCAAACACTGTAATTTGACAATCATCTAGGTTGTCAATTCCCTGTCTTCAGAATCCTGTCTTTCCAACAGTTGTAGTAATAGGAGGTTGATTATTAAGACATTTTTTTAAAGTAAAATATTTCCATTAGGTGGTTGAAAGATGAGAAGAGCCATTTTAGCACTTGGTCAGGTCACAGCTTGTACAGTAGTGTCCCCTGCATGGCTTGTGTGAGGGAAGGGCCTTTCTTATCCCTTGTCGCTCTGTTTTCCCTCTCAGTCTTACCCCTCCCACTCAGACACTTAGAGGGCACAGTCGGGCACAGCAGGGTAGATCTGTCTTCTCCCTGACTCCATTCCTGGTGTCTTGTTGGATCTGCTAAGAAGCTCCCCAGCCGCACCTGGTGCTTTGCCTTAGTCATGGTGTAGGTAACTACTCAAGGAACTTCCTTCTCTGGAATTCTCTTACTTAGACCAGTCAGTTTCTGAAGAAAAGAACATATCTAAGGTAAAGGAGGACTTACCCCAGACCTTGTAGCCTTATTGCTACAGACAGGCCATTTCTCACTTCACTGATGATTATATAGTACAGATCATCATTATACCAACGACTATCCATTTTAAATTAATTACATCTAATTAAATTAATTAGCCTTAAAGCATCTAAGTGTTAAAGGAAGTCCTAGTACATTGATTCTCAATTTTCATAGTGGGAACTTACTTTAATACCTTGAATCCAGTTCACTGAAAATAATAGGTTATCGATAAAATTGAGTAAGGTTAAGATTTGAAGGTACATATTCTTGATACACTTGAAATATGTGTTTACCTGTTGAAAAAGGTGTCACAGAGGTTTCTGAAAAATAGGGTTTGTAAGACTTTACAGGGAGAAATCCCATTGGTCATCGACCTGATATCAGAAATAGAACATTTTTGTTTGGGGATATTGAAAAGAACTTCTTCTGAGTTTTGTAAGTTTAGAAGTGTTTTAAACCAAGTCAGTTCTTGTCCAAAGCAGTGGGAATACAGCATAGTCGATTTTGGTTAAAACACAGAATGACCCAATCTCCTACACGTGCAGAGAGGCAGCACCCCTCCCCCATTCTCATGACCCAACAGTAGCTTATGTGTGTGCTATCCACTCTTCTATCAGGCTGGGTGGTGGTTCTAATGCCTGAATAGCCCATCTTTGTTTGTTAACACTTAGATTTAAGTCTCCGCTACTCTGAACCTAAGGGTTGAAGGCCAAAGTTTTACAGCATTCTGAAGAACATGGTATGGGGAAGTCAACTTACAGATTTTTAATTAAAGACTAATAGTTTCTTGACAAAGCCTTCTGGGATATGGAGAACAGAAATAGATTTGAGGAACCAGGGATTAATTTTATTTTATTTGGGATAGTTCAGTCTGACTCTTCTAGGAATGGCTGTATGAACTAGGGGAACGGAAAATGGCCATGGTGAAGTTACTTCTGGTGTGTAGCCTGTGTAGCCTGGGCTCCTCCACAGCTTAGTCTCAAGGTGCAAACCTGGCTGAAGGGAAGAGGCTGAACCTACAGATGCATAATCTGTTTCTCAATTGGTGCCCGCCAGGAAAACGCCTGTCTACTAAAAACCACCCCTGTGTTCCCAAGATAATAAAATCTACTTCCCTACTGCCAGTTATTCGGCTTCTCTGTGTCTCAGGAAATTTCTGTTGTCATTATGCAGGTGGATGAGTTTTTTTCAGGGTAAGATTATCCAAGTTTATTTCCTAATTATTTCAGTATAATTTCAGGAATATAGGAAAGTTGAAGCAAGTGTATAGCAACTACTTCTTTTTGTTGGATTCTGCCGTTGTTAGCATTGCTAGACAGTTGCTTTATCAAATCTAGTCACCTGTTCATCCCTCTATAAGATAGACTTTTAATTATGAAGTTGCTATTTTTTCTCTTCGCAACCATTTAAATCCAAAAAAGTTTACCCATGTCCATACAGACATATGCACAACCACATTTCCTGATGCCCTTTGGCCCCCTTTAGGCCTCTAACACCTGGTCACAGAGTCCTTTCTTTGTAGAATTCAGGAAGAAGAATGGGACGAATACATTATTCCTGCAAAATCTGAATCAGAAAAGTACAAAGTGAGCCGGACGTTCAGCTTCCTCATGAACAGGATGACCAGCCCTCGGAACAAATCTAAGGTAATCCAGGGTGTGTGCCTACCGGCTGTAGAGTGTAGGCAGCTTCAGTCCTCAGCAGTCAGGAGAGTTTCCACACGTGTCCCCTTTAGGCCACCCACCTTTGCCTGAGTGTGTTCCTTTCTTACGGATTCCTGGCAGGTCGTTGGGAATGTTACGGCAGCTCCTTCAGGGGTCAGTCTGTGTTGATGCCTGAGTTCTGTAAGCATTCCCACTGACAGCTGTCTCCTTTGTCCATTCCCTCCCACTTTTCTGCTGCTTCTGAAGATGAAAAACAAGGAAGCCAAAGACAAAGAAAAACCGAATCGGCACCAGTTTGTCCCAGGAACCTTCTCAGGGGTTCTGCAGTGCTCGGGTTGTGAGAAAACACTTCTGGGGAAAGAGTCACTCCAGTGTGCCAGTAAGTCCTCGAATCCAGTGTGTTATGAGTTTTCTCTCCATCCTGCAAGCTTCCCAAGGGTAAAGCCTCTGCCAGCACCCTTACACAACCTTCTCTCTCAAGGGCTGTAACATGAGGGCCTTCTTGTTGGGGGTTCCTGTCCTGCCCAGTTCCCACAGCCAGTAAGCTCCAAAGAAAATCACACAGAGAGTCTACATTAGGTTATAAACATTAGCTCAGGCTTCTTATTAACTCTTGTAACTTATATCATTATTATCTATGTTAGCCACATGGCTCAGTACCTTTTTCAGTGGGGCAGGTCACATCCTGCTTCTTTGGTGATCTGGGCAGGAGTCAGAGAAGAGCTTCCTTCTTCCCAGCATCCTCCTGTTCTCATTGCCCCACCTCTACTTCCTGTCTGGTTTTCCCACCTCTACTTCCTGCCTGGCTATTGGCCAATCAGCATTTATTTAAAGCGTGATTGACAGAATACAGACAATTCTCCCACACCAGAGGGCCTCATGTATCACTGAGCTGTTTGTCTTGCCGTGGTCAATACTGGTTGTTTGGTACTTTTCATCTGTGGTTAATGACTTTCTTACATCCAGGCCTATCAACCTTGCTGTCTGCTGAATATCTCACTGCTTTTGAATGTTGCATGCCTAAAACTGAGCCCTTGCTCTCAGCTCAGTGCTTACTAGCAAGCCAATCCTCCCATCACTCCAGACAGATACTCATGACAAGATTTTAGAGGATTTGTCCATGACTCCCATTTCTTATGTGTGACAGCCAGTCCTTTAGCAACTCCACTGGCTCTGTTTACAGTGTGTATTTCAAGCCCATGCACTTGTCAACCCACCACTGCTCTCACTGCTCTGAAGCCACCATTCCTTTAGGTCCCTTATACTTTTGCCACCTCTGTTGGTTTGTTTTCTATTGCTGTGATAAGCACCATTGATCTGGACAAGCAGGTCATTGACAGGAAGAAGCAGGGGATCAGAAAACAAAGAAGATAGGAGAAGTTTTGGAATCAAGAGATATTATATAAGCTGTGATATGCCGAACACGTTTATTAAGAAGTATGGCATCTTACATATATAGTTTTCAGGGGAAAATGGGACAGATTCGGCAAAAAAAAAAAAAAACAACAAACTATCATACAATGGAAAGAAATCAGCAGGAAGCTGATCAAGCAATTTTGCACAAAGGGAACAAAGGATATCTCAGGTGTGTCAGAGACGAGTGCACAAAGCCTTGGGAATTAACCACAGCCCTTCAAGGGGGCAGGGAAGTTGAGTCTCAGGATCCTGAAAACTGTAGCTCCTCCAAGGCCTTGGCCCAAGCCATTACTGGCCTTGCCAAGCATATCTGGGTTTAGGCAAGGAACTGAGTTCCTTTTCTATGCATCAGGGCCACAGGGAAGGTCCTGGACCAGCCTGGCCCTCAATACACCATGACCAAAAGCAGCTAGAACAGGAAAGGGTTACCTACCTCATGCATCCTGATCACAGTGCATCATCAAGGAAAGCCAGGACAGGAGCTCAAACAGGGCAGGAACTGAAGCAGAGACCATGGAAGGATACTGCGTACTGGCTTGTTCTCTGTGGCTCACTCTGCTTGCTTTTTCTATAACTCAGGACCACCTATCCAGGGATAGCAATGCCCACAAGTGGGCTGGGCCCTGCCACATCAATCATTAATTGTAAAAATGCCTATAAGCCAATCGATGGAGACAATTTCTCAATTGAAGTTTCCTCTTCCCAGATGACTTTAACTTGAGTCAAACTGACAAAGAAGTAACCAGGACACAAGATAAGGCTATTCTTAAGGTATCTGCCCAGGAGAGGGGATCCCTAATGTCTTACAGTCGCTGCAAAGCTCTTTAAGACCTGGCCTATTTCCTTTCTCTCCCCTTTCTCCCTTTGTTCTGGCCACAGTCATCTTTACTGTTTTTCCAACAAGCCAGCATCTTGTTTTAGTGCCTTTTGTCTTTGAGGCTCTTCCTTCTGACCCCTGTAGATTGTTGGGTAACACCCCTCAGACATGACCACCTTGTGTCTAGCTTGTCATTTCCCTCATCATTAAATCCCGGGCCCTATAATTTACCACCATCGATGCCGTGGCATAGTCTCCATGTCATTTTCCTTGGCTGTCTCTGTCACCATAAATGCTGGAAGGGGAAAGGGAGGCAGGGCATAGTAATTTTTCATAACCCCCCAGATGCCGTCACAAACTCGACCCTTAACATTTAGGTTTAGTTTTCCTTAGACTGCTAAGGAAAACAGATGCATAAGTAAGACCCACTCCTGTTGAGTTCATTAAGTGCATCTTGATGACATCTTGGTGGAAGCCAGAAATTGCTGAAAGTACCTCAGACATGCTCAGTTATCAAATCTGTCATGGCTTTAAAAAAATAAGTATGTAAAGACTTACAAAAGATATATGGCTTCAATAGAAGCTTAAATTGTCTAAAAATTTTCCATATGCAAAAACTTTGCTTTCAATATATCATCATTTTGTAAGTATTTAAATTGTATAAGCTAATGAGTTTATTATGGCATTTCATACATGTATATAATATACTTGCTGTAATAGGAGCTGATCTATACCCGAAATAACAACACACAAATTGTATTCTTTTAAACACTGCTTGGCCCATTAACTCTAGCCTCTTACTGGCTAACTCTCACATCTTGCTTAACCCATTTTTATTAATGTGTGTAGCACCACGAGGTGGTGGCTTACCGGGAAGCTTTTAACCTGCGTCTATCTCAAAGAGGAGAGTTATTGTGTCTGCTTCACTTCCCTTCTTCCCAGCATTCTGTTCTGTCTACTCCACCCACCTATGTTCTGACCTATCAGGCCAAGCAGTTTCTTTATTAATTAACCAATGAAAGCAACAGATAGACAGTGACCCTCCTCCATCAACTTGCATCATTTTCAGTTACCTACTGTCATACTCTGCTACCCCGTCTCACTGTTACCCTCCTCCACTCTTTCATATTTCTATTGTTTTCTTTAATTACTATTTTTACACGTATGACACATATAAATATACGGCTACAACCGGAGTCCATTTGGTGTTGCTCTTGTTTTGAGCACTGACACTTGGCATTGGATAGCCCCTTAGAGGGCTCTTCCCCAGGGAGGTCTAATTCTCTCTCTCTCCACATTCATTACTTAGTCGCTTCTAACCCTAATGAGGTTGCATCAGTTTTTAATGCTGGGATTTTGCTTGATGATTCTATCACGAGTCTTCAGTCATTTCTCATCATATACTTAGGTTTCCTATATTTTCAAAACATAGACGAACATGTGTTTTCACATACCTCTGTCTACATTGCTGATTACTCCCTTAGATTAAATTCTGCAGTCTGTATGCAAGCTGAAGTGTACACTCGCTGTTTCTCTCTATACCACAGTGGTTTTTAGGATTAGTTTGGGGACTTCCAAGGTTTTCACTGGAAGGGGGAGTGTTGGTCACTTAAACTTGAATTAACCTTACATTTTTGACATTGAGTAGTAGGCAGACTTTGACAGTCTCTTCTGTGTTGGGTGGATAATCATCTTCTATGTGTTTGGTTAATAGCTTCAATCTTACAGAAAGATATGATGTGAAACAGTACATTGTAGAGCTACTCAAAATCTTAGTGTCATTTTTTTCTGTGAGATTCTGAGATGCTAACAGTTCATAAACAAGGCAATTCTGTAACATTCTCATGTATGCCTGAGTTCAATTGCTTGTGTTTTGATACGACATTATGTGGTGCACAGACCCTCATGAATGAATTCATTGCAGATGAACTTTAATTAATATTGTTGCACTTTGATGTCCTTTCTTGCCTTTTGTACTGAGTTTTGAATGTCTCAAATTAATGTTCCTCTTGCTTTTCCTTTCTTTGTGTGTCTCTTAACTGTTTCTGTGGTTTTTATTTGGCGTGTATGTCTTCAATTTAGCTAGAGAGAATCTGTAATGCAACTGAAAATTGCGTTTTTATAACAAAGGGGTTTTCTTATTTACATTTAATTTTACTGCTGCCAACTATCTTTGACAATTCCTGGCTGTTTTCCTTGCTGTCTGGCTTGGGGCTTTAGACCATGTGTTGCTTGCTTTTATCGTCTCCTGCAATTTGGCACAATAAGGGCTCTTAATATCTACTAATGATAGTGTTATGGCTACGTAAGGCTCATAACTTAATACAGTTTTATCTTCCTTATGTGAGCCTCTTTCCCCCCTCCGTTAGTATTCCCAATTGTTGTATTATTACATTTTCTTTCATACTGTAGGCTGAACATTTCAGGAATGACTTCATTACTTCAAGAGCAATTCAATGTTTTCGTTCTATTCTGTGTGTATACTTACAATAGCTTTGAAAACCCTCCTCCCTTCTTCTCTCCCTCCTGTCCTTCCTTCTTTCTGTTCTTTCTTCCTTCCTTCTTTTGTTTTGTTCATCTCTGGTCTCTTGTAGCCTAGGCTGTCCTCAAACTTACTATGTAGCCAAGGATACTTTGAACTCCTCCTGCCTTCCTCTCCCAAGTACTGAGAATACAAATGTCTATCACCAAGCTCAGCTTTCTTTCTTTAGCCTGGGTCACTGCTTACTTTTAGGCTAGAGAGATGCCTCAGTTGCTAAGAGTGAATGCTGCTCTTGCAAAGGACCTGAGTTTGGTTTCCAGAACCCATACTGTAACCAGCTCCAGAGGGATCTGATGTCCTGGCCTCCATGAGCATCTTCACTCAATTCAGCATTCCCACATGCAGGCACATAAATGTGATTAAAAATAAAAATAAATCTTCAAAAATGAAAGAGAAAACCTTTCGCCAATCCATTCTTCAGTCTTTACTTCTGATTCTCCTCTCAGGCTCAGATGGGATGGGATAGTTTAATGAAACCTAGGCACTTTGTTTACGTGGCTAAATAAAACTTTAGTCCAAAGTTCAAGCTTCCATCTACAAGGGCCAGCGTAGTTGAGTATTAACTGCTGCCTCAGGAAAATCTGATGCCTGAGTGACCCGAATCCCTTGTTAGTAGCCCCACTTCTCTCTACCTATACGCCAAAGTACTTTTAACTTTTTCATCTCGCAGATATTGTCAGACTGTGTCTATTATTTTTATTAGGAAATAGTGAGACTTTTCATTTCGCCCTCGAGCTTGCTCGGTTAGCTTCAGGAGATTCTCTTCTGTGCACCTCGGGCTCTGATAGCTCTGGTTTCATCTTTTTTGGCTTCTTTCTTAGACAAGGGTCATCTCTGGGATCTGCCTTTGTCTCTTTTATAATCACGACCTTCTTCTTCACATCCTGAAATCTTTGAAGTTTGAGTTCACATAGCACATAGTTTGATATCATGGTCACATGGACCTGTGTCTGTCCAGTTGGAAATCTGCTCCTGCTGTTCACCTGTCTGGCAGTTTCTGCCTCACAAAGCCCCGCCCCCTCTCATAGGCTGTTGACCCACCCACAGTCCTGATCTCCCTACATGCCTTTGGCTTTGATTTCATAGACACATCTTTGCCTGCCCTATCAGAAGCACATCTCAAAAATCTACATTTTCCATCTCTGTCTCCAGGCCCAAAGCCCAGAGGCTGGCTCTTCCTGTACCCCCCCCCCCCAAAGCTTTGTTCACTGGCGTCTCAGAACCTTCACTTTTCCTTTTCTTCTGTTTGGTTGGAAATAAGAGGAAAGAAAATGGGTTTCATCTGGAGAGCCAGTATATAGAGCTGCCTTGCTCTGCTCACTGGCATTAGCTAGTCGACGGAAATGCCCCTTTGGACAGTTTGAGGCTGAGTCTCTGGCCTGGCTCACAGTGGCCTGCAGGGTCTTCTGCAGTGTGGCGTGACGGGCTGAAATGGGATCTTATGGATCAACTCCAAAGACATTTCAGTTACAGACTATGGGCTCTTTCTGACAGAGGTAGTGTAGGGGTGGGCAATTTGAAGGTGACAAGGAGGATCGGAAAGGAGCATGACAGCCTCCAGACTACAGCCCCCATGGACACCAGTGTACATGAAGACATCCTGGTCTCTGTCCCTGTGGGCAGAAAGCTTGTTTTTCTCTGGGGGAGGCTGTATGAGCCAGTGGCAAACCACTTTCATCTGATTTGCCTTTTAAAGATTTATTTTCATTTTAAATTATGTGTGTGGGGGGGGGAGGGTGAGGTGAGGATCTGTGTACTTGTGAGTGCAGCTGCCTGCTGAGGCCAGAAGAGTGGGGCTGGAGTTCTAGGTGGTTGTGAACCACTGGCCGTAGGTTCTGGGAACTGAATTCCGGTCCTTAGCAACTGCAGTGTGTACCTTTGACTTCTAAGCCGTCTCTATAGAAATTTCTTCCAGTTGAAGCTGACATGCATTGTTTTTCTCGGTCAGCATTATTGCCAGCTCATTTCTTCCCATCCCCCTAGACAGTTTGCCCGATGCTAGAGTTGAGGGCTATCAGTCAAGCCTCAGAAATCCCCGAGAACACAGTACATACAATAGGAAGTGAGCTATCAGGCAGACCCAGAGGGGTTCGGTACACAGCTGTATGCTTTCTAACTTATAAGGTCATTACAGATGATGACAGATTGTCCTCAAGGGACTCAAAGTTCCCACGTGTGCTTATGCTTGTGTGGGGCTATGCATCATTTAAATATTTCACTTCTTAAATATGTGTCCTTCTTGGTGTCGTTTTTATAATAACTAATAAAGTGTGATGTGACCTTATCTTCAGATGCATTTAAGTCAGATGGAAATGTCTGTGTCTTCTATTTCAGACTGTAAGGCGAACACACACAAGGGCTGCAAAGATGCTGTGCCTCCCTGTACCAAGGTAACTTCCCAGTCCCTGAAGAATATGTGTGCCCTGTGGCCTAGCTTGCTTACCTGTGTCGTCTGCTGCTGGACACCAAACTCTTAGGGCTATTGGACTTACCATATGGTGGTAACACATACTTAGAGTGTGTGACTATTGATTAACTGTCCATGTTTACCAGTAGAGAGAAGATCTGCTTGTGTTATTTGAGGTGAGCAGGCTAGGCTTTCTGCCTAGAGTCATATTCTCTAGCAGCCGTCATCAGAATCACCCAAAAGGCTTTAAAGACCTCAGCTTCTAGGTCCCCTCCCAGGTTTTCAGATTCTGTAAACCTGAATGGGTCCCGGGGATGTGTATTTCCAGCACATTCCCTGGAAGCACCGCTGTGGCTGAGAGCCTAGCTGGAGGCATGGAGCTAGGATGCATATTTGGGACAAGGTTATAAAGATGATGACAGTTACACTTCCAGTCCTTTGTGGCCACTCCACCGTTGAACGTGAGGTGTGTGTGAATTTGAGCAGGACCCTCCTGCAGTGTGGAGGTGGTGGGGTGGTCGTCACGGAGCCCTGTGTTAACTGATACACTTAAGGGTTGATGTAGAAGGTGAGACAGCAGAGTTTAGGGTGGTTTTCCCCGGAAAGAGGAGTATGACGAGGTAGAAAGACACAAGAGAAGCAAGGCAGTGTGGGTAGAAGGGCCTCTTTCTCCACGGCTTGGCCGCATGAGCCATAGACGTTGGTTGTCTAGAGCCTTCTGAGCACTGAGTATTCATGAGGCTCATCCCTCCTTCTTCCTGGCACATTGCCTGGTCGCCACACTCTGCTTTTGTTGCATTTACTGTTTTCTGCTTTGAATTCTTCCCTGAAATGAATAAGATAATGACTATGGAGTAGATAAGAAACCTATGCTGTGTAACCATGTGTACATTCTTGTAGCCAAGTGGTGCTTTGATCTTATTTTATGTGTCTCTAATAATTTTTTTTACTAGAAATTCCAAGAGAAATACAACAAGAACAAACCACAAACCATCCTTGGAAGTAAGTGTTGTGGGAAAATGACAAGAACTTTTAAAAATGTAATGCATACCATACTTTTTCCATTATAAAACTACCTCCTGCGTTTGTTTTCTCATTTGTCCAGTGGTTTCTTCTTCATAACATATGCATGGTGCAATTTTTACCTGGGTAAAGAAGTCAAGAAGGATATAAACTTTTTGGTCAGCCTATGAGTTTCTGCATCATCTGTAGAGCGTGGCCTGTGTATCACAGGGACTGTATGGAAATAGTATTACCTGACGGGTCTCAATTCTAATGGTGTTTATTAGAATATAGCCTATTGATTTAATGACTTTGGGGGTAGGCAGAGGCATTGCATTGAATGTACATGTTTTGATGTTTTTCTAATAGTAGCATATGTTCACCTGTAGAAATACATGCTAAAACCTCCTTATGATTCACACAGTTTAGTGGAAAAGAAGTCTTTGGCTTTGGAATCTCTTTATTTTCATTGGTCCCTGTGGTCCAGTGTTATGGAGACCCCATGCTTGGTTTAGTTGCATTTGAGGCTTGGACTTTTTAGTACCTTTAGTGTGATGCTGAAATTATAAAGCATGCTGAAGTTTTATTTGTCTATTTCCAAATCTGATGACTCTGTTCTTGTTTTAATTATACACTGCTGAGATTTAAATAGTTTCTCTTGAAAACAACCAGGAACCTTGAACAATTCCTTGTGTTACAAGCGAGGAGCCAGCCACACTGACATAGCCTCAGTTTGAAAAACACTTGCTTTCCCTTGAAAGCATTTGTAGTTTCTTCTCTCTGGGGTTGCTTTGTGTGATAAGTGGCAGGAATTTTAAGTGCCTGGTCACTTTTCACTTCAGCGCTTTAACAAAGTGTGACTGGCATCTTGGAACCCACTCTGGTGGGGACAATAGGTGTACTAAGTCATGGTGACGTGCTTTGGGTGTGGTGCTATGCACCTTTGTTTGAGCTTCTCTTGTCACTCGGTCCTCTGCTTTGGCCTTAGAAATCTCTTGCCATCAATTCTGAGGTGCTTCTCATTTTCATGAAGTTAAATGGGTGACTAAAAAGGTGCTCAGAGTTTGGAAATTTGAATGTCTTCTGCTCCTCTTCTTCCTGTGGAATTCACGGGACCAAAGCGGAGATGTATACATTTCCTTGTTACATCCTGGCATCTATGTAAACACTTCTCCCCTTTGCTCCAGAGTGTGGACTCAATAGCTACAACCCAAAGGGTCTGAAATACCCACTCAGGGTTATTTACAGTTCTTCCCAAACATAAATGTGTCCATGCCCGCTTGTTTTCAGTGTATAGAGAAAACAACATGGCTGGGCTTTGGGCTTTGTTTGCCCGGGAGTGTTGTTCCCTAAGGAGTGGACTCTCCAGCATCATTCCTTTCCCTTTAGCTGCCCTCTCTGGGTGCACATGCTTGTTTACACACACTGTATGTATTTTGCCAACAGAGCTAATGACACCTTGTGTCTATTTAAAGCTGGCTTCGAAGAGCACAAGCAGTGGTTTATGGGAAAGCCGGCTGGTCCTTCCCCATTCCATTCATCTGTTTGCTTGGGTCGCCCCAGACATCCACAGTCTCCCAGGGGAGGTGTGGAAGCAGGCCGGCAGCATGGGTGTTGGAAGGGTGAGAAGAGGAAGGGACACGTGAAAGGTGCCAGGCAGTGTCAGAGAGACCCGTTTCAAGGCTGGGCCATGGCCCGTGGGAAGTGGCTGCTGGATGGTGTACCTGTCCGGATCGCCTGTGGCTTTCTTGCCTTGTAAATGCTGCCCTCACACATAAAGTGTCCCCTGTGATTCCAGGCACCTCACTTAGAGACGTCCCACAACCGGGACTCTCCTTGCACCCGTCCTCCTCCATGCCAATCGGACTGCCAGCCGGACGGAAGGAAGCTGCAGGGCAGGTGCACCCGCTGTCCAGAAGCGTCCCGGGAACCACTTTGGAGAGGTGAGGCTCAGTGGCCTGCTTTGCTCTCATGGCCCAGGGTGGTTGCGGGGGGGCTAACTCGTGTCTCCCTTTCTGTCTCCCAGCTTCAGGAGGTCAGTGACATCTTTGGAGTTGGAGGGGGACAGTACCAGCTGGCGAAGCAGATCTCATTCTGATGAGCTATATCAGTCCATGGGCTCTTCCCCCTCCACAGAGTCCTTCATGATGGAAGGTGAGAAGATGGGGTGGAGCACTCCCGTCTCTGTGAGCGTTTACTGAAGGGAATATTTTGTGCAAGAAATGAGATGGGGTGTGTTATTTTGTTCTTTTTCTCATGTTTCTGTGTGTGGTATGCATATATGTGTATATGTATATTGGTCCCATATGTGTGGATACTCATGTATGGATAAGAGAGCATATATGTGGAGTCCTAAGATTGCAGAGGCCACAGCCTGCTTGCCTGGCTTTTGCATGGGTTCTGCACACCAAACCCTTTATCTGCTGAGTCGTCTCCTTGGTTCTCTGCTGCTCTGTAGAAGTTGTATGGTATCTGCCTGAAGTAGAACCTACTTTTCTTAAGGGTCTCAAGAAAACCCGAGTGTAGGAAAGTGACTTGTTGGGGGTGTGGAGGACGGAGGGGAGAGGTTACAGTACTCAGGATGTACTTTAATGTTTGAATTGTCAAAGACCAAATTCAATAAAAGGTTTTTTGTTTTTGTTTTTTTAATGACAACTTAGTCTTGAGGGACGCAGTCAGGAGTGACTGAGGAGTTAAGAAGCAGTTTTTAAATGGAGACATTCCTAAGAGATAGGTGTAATGAAAAGAATGAGATGCGCTGTGGGGGGGGGGGTCATGGGAAACGTGGCACAGCCATTGGGAGAATGGAGAGAATGAATCCCCCACTCGAATACGTATTTAATTAAGACAGCTCCTGCCCGGACCACTGTGACATGGGCCCCACCTGTTGTCTGCTGCTTCTAGGAAACAAAGCATTTTGGAGAGGGTTTTATAGGATGTAATTCAAGATGGTGGACTGTTTGTTGTTTTCAGGTTGCCTCGATGAATAAGGAAGAGGAGAACTTCCACATGGAAGAGGAGAACTGGGTAGACAGCGTTGACTCAGTTTCTCCTCTGTTTTCCTAAAGCGTTGTCACCTCACTTTTACAGCCACCAGTTGGGATCTCTCAGGAGCATTGTTTAGGGCAAATAGGCTTTGGTTTCCCTGAACGGTGTTTGTTCATTGTGTGTGTGTGTGTGTGTGTTTCTTTTCCTGAAAGGTGTTTGTGTGTGTGTGTGTGTATGTGTGGTTCTTTTCCTGAACGGTGCATGTGTATATGTTTAGCTCTATTAGAAAAGTTTTTACCTGCAGGACTTAAGCCTCCCACTGTGTTTTGCATTTTGCCAAGTCGAGGGTAAACGGAGTGGACACGTTCAAATTCAGATGTGAGTAAACCATGTAAAACAACCCAGGCAAAAAGCAACAGTGAGGTCAAGGCTCTGTAAACAGGGCATGGGCTGGGAAGATTACTGAATCAGACTCCAACAGAGTGGGCCCAAACCAACCAAGGCATCTCCAGTTTTCCTCACCTTCCTGCAGCTGCTGTCAGATGCTGCTCTTCTTCACTCTCGTGGCAGCTGTGCTGGACCCTTTCACCCCTGGTTTGCAGGTGCTCCACACCTGCCTGCACTGTAGCTTCTTGCTGGGGCCTTCCTGTGCTTCTAGCAGGTTCGAGCCTGAGAGCCTGCTTCTTGGCAATCTCTTTGTGATTGGCGTATGGCGCACCGTGCTTCTGGCTTTTCTTTTCTAGATGTTGTGGATTCTTCTCTGTGGAGCGACCTCAGCAGTGATGCCCAGGAGTTTGAAGCCGAGTCTTGGAGTCTTGTGGTGGACCCTTCCTTTTGCAGTAGGCAGGAGAAGGATGTTATCAAAAGACAGGATGTCATTTTTGGTAAGCATTTTAAATATGCTTTGGGGGCAGAAGTACTGGGTTTGGAGGAGAGAGCATGGACGGTGATACTGTCTAGACCTGAGTTCAAGGCTGGTTTTGTCATTTTCCACCTAAATGGTCTCAAACAAACTATGTGGCTCACCTGAGCCTCAGTCTCCTCATTTGTAAAGCAGGGATAATAATATTCAGGTATAAAATACGGTTCCAAGGCTTAAATGCAGCCTTGCATGTACAAATATCAAGGAAATTTGATTTCCCATACCCTTAGCAGATCTCCTTGAGTCTGGCCTCTAGATACTTCTCCACTTCTTCCTGTTTGAGCCACAGTAAACTCTCACATTCTTGCTGCAGATATTACAGTTCTGCATGTGGCCTACGGTTGACCATTTGTGCCTGTAGAAACTGTCTGGGCCTGAGGCTGGGTGAGGACAACATTTGTGTGCTGCAGTCTTTAGTATCAAGCTCAGCTGCACTGAGATGTCACCATGGTGCGCTTCTGGGAGTGAAGGCAATCTGAAGTAGAAACAGCTAATTAGGACAATCCAAAGCGTGAAGAACGTACTAAAAAGTAGTCTCAACAAGACACCCCACTTTGTAGCTGAGACAGGGTCTTCATTCTTTTTGGCCTATGTTTTCCTGTCCTCTGTTAAGAGGTGCCTTGTTCATCTTCAGTAGGGGTGGAGGATGGAGGTTGGGGGCAGAGTTTCACCAAGATTAGGAGGTACTAGGGGGTAGGCTTCGGAACCTTCCAGGGGCCTTGGGAGTCACATCACAGGAAGATAACAGGATGATGCTCCCCTTTTTAATGTTTGTTAGACGATAATATTATTTAATATGAAGAGTGCTGCCATGTCTCTTCAGTCTCGGGTCACCCTCACACACTGTGAAGCTCAATGTCACCAAACAGGTGCATTATCTCAGGTCATGTGGCCTCTTGGTGTCAGAAAAGTTTGACCCGCAGGGAAAATCTTTCCTTTCCCTTCTGTTCCTCATTGCTTTCCTTTTAAAGATGAAGAAAGCTGGCATGGTGGCTCCTGCCAATAACCCCAGCACTGGGCAGGATTGAGCATCTCAGACCTCCTAGCTACCCAGCACCATTCTGTCCCAAACCCAAAAGTAATGGGAAATGAACAAGGGCCAGAGAGTAGCTCGGTGGCACAGTGCTTTCCTAGCATGCTCTGGATTTTGTGCTCAGTGTCACCCTCCCACCACCCCACACACAGAGGAGGAGGGGGAGTACCCCTCAACACATACAAGGGGGGGATAGTATTCCTACCCCTTCAGTCATAATGAGTAAATTAGTTAAAGGATTAAATGTTATGATAGGGTAAGCCAAAGGGGCGCTAACAATGCCGAAGGAAATACGGATTCTTTGAAGTTGTGGGTCTCAATGAAAGAGATTTGTGCCTCCGATGAAGTAGGATGCTGTATTTAGACCTATTTCCCCTTCGTGGCTGATACTTTAGATTCTGTCCCCAAACATGGGGTAGTTGGGAGCTTGTGCAGAGCTTTCGTATTCCTACATGTTGGGGGTTACTGTTTTCTCTCACAGTGGATTTGAAAAGTTGAGATATAATCTATATACCATAAAATTACACCCCATATGTAATCAGGTGGGGCTCAGTATATTCCCCAAAGTTGTGGAGCCATTAAGCCTTCCAATTCTAGGATATTTGCATCACTTCCAAAAGAAACTTAATACCCGTTAGAACTCACTTCTCAGTTCTCTTTTTCCCTCTGGATTTGGGCAACTGCTAACCTACTCTCTGTCCTTTGCCTCTACAGTCAGTCTCTCTCTCTCTCTCTCTCTCTCTCTCTCTCTCTCTCTCTCTCTCTGTCTCTTTGTGTGTGTGTGTGTGTGTGTGTGTGTGTGTGTGTATCCTGTTACTTTATATGATGTTTGAAGAATCATAGTATGTACTTCATTCCTTTTTAAAGTCAACTAATATCCCATTTTGTTTATCTGGTCATTAATGGATGTGCATTTCATGTTGTTTCTTTTCTTTTTCCTTGAAAGTCATATGGTAACTTCATTTTAACTTCTTAGTGATTGCAGGCTGGTTACTAAGGCAGCTGAAGTATCTTACATCCTTGCCAGTGTAGGTGGTTCTAATCGCTCCCCACCTTCACCTTTGCCAACATGTGTTTATTCTCTATCTTTTCTTCCTGTAATTAGCTCAGTATACGTGACATGCTGTGTTATTTTGGTTTTGATTTGCACTTCCCCACTAAGGATATTGAACTTGGTTGGGGGATGATGAGGATTAGGGTGGGGGTGGGGGTGAGGGCTGTGATGAAGGTGGGGTGGGGGTGGGGGTGAGGAAGGGAATAATAATCTCACACAAAGCTTTTTGCCTTAGAGACAGGGCTTCTACCACTAAAGTTAATCCTCACCCCTGTTGAGCATCTTTTTTTTTATATTTATTTATTATGTATACAATAGTCTGTCTGCATGTATGCCTGCAGGCCAGAAGAGAGCACCAGACCTCATTACAGATGGTTGTGAGCCACCATGTGGTTGCTGGGAATTGAACTCAGGATCTTTGGGAGAGTAGGCAAAGCTCTTAACCTCTGAGCCATCTCTCCAGCCCCTGTTGAGCATCTTTTTGGATACTTAGTGATCATTTGTTTGTTTTTGAAGTTTTATCTACTAAATTGCTTTGCCCATTTTTGAATTATTGAAGACATTTAGTTAGAACACTTTTCATACATGCACATGATATTATATATATGATATATAATCTAAATTCTATCTTTTATACATATATAATTATCATTTTCCTCTGGAAAAAATGAATTTTGAAAAATGATTTAGTGAGAGAAAGAATCTACTATCATAAAGCCTTGGGAAACTTTATTACATTGAGTTTATTTCACCAAGTTATTTCATTTCAACTATTTGATTATGCATGCACTCAACACAAACAACAAAGAAAGACTTTTTTTCAACAAGCTGTTATATCTTATAGAGCATTGGCATGGGAGTTGAAGCTGTTGGAAACATTTGACCCTTAGCTGCTTTACTTGGCTTTCATTTGTGGGTCCTCTTCTAATATCTGGGCAATTAATATTTGTAGTGTAAATAAGATTTTAATCATCACTGACTTTTCTTTGGGGGAAAATGGTCCTGATAGTCTTAAACATTCCTTCATTTTTATTAGTGTAATGTAGAATTGCATTGCAAGAGACATATATGGGGCTTTTTGTTTGTTTGTTTGTTACAGAGAAAAATTTGATAGAATTATTTTTATTTTAACTGGTATTATGTATGTCTCTCTAACTCAGTGCATGATCAAAACCTGAATTTGCATATGAAGGAAGTTACTAGCATTCGTCAAGAGGGTGAATAAAAGATATGAAATGACAGAAAGATGATTAGATGCTCATTACTATTTAGTATGTCCATCTGTCTGTCCTGTCTGTAAAACGTGACTTGGAAGGGTGTCGGCAAATAAGATCTGTGATTCTGAATTCTTTTCTTTGAAATATCTGTTCTTGAGTGTTCACAGGAGTGTAGGAAAGGCTGCATGACTGGCAGACATGTTACACAGCTCATTTGGGTCATGCATGTGCTCACATTTCAGAGCTGATGCAGACGGAGGTGCACCACATGCAGACACTACTCATCATGTCTGAGGTCTTCAGGAAGGGCATGAAGGAGGAGCTGCAGCTGGACCACAGCACAGTGGACAAGATCTTCCCCTGCTTAGATGAGTTGCTGGAAACCCATAGGCATTTCTTCTTCAGCATGAAGGAACGCAGGCAGGAATCCTGCATGGGTAACGACAGGAATTTTGTGATCAACCGAATTGGAGATATTCTGGTACAGCAGGTAAGAAGGGTGTCAAAGCTGGTCTCAGAATCCTAAATGTTTGCAGGAACACCCCTCCCCTTAGATTTTTTTTTTATTTTATATGTCTGAGTGCTTTTTCTGCATGTATATCTGTGCACTATGTGCTTGCCAGGTGCCCACAGAAGTCACAATACGGTGTCGATTCCTGACACTGGAGTTACAGATGGTTGTGAGCTACCGCGTGGGTGACTGAGATCTCCAGCAAGAGAAACAAGTGCTCTTAATCACTAAACCTTCTGTCCATCTTTGGTTTGCAGACTCTTTATTGATTAAAAATCCTTGGAATTATGAAATTGATTTCTTTATAGTTTTTCCTATGTGGGGGCCATGGGTTTTCTTTTATTGGGTGTTGTTTGATCCTGGCTGTGTAACAGATGTTAGGTAGCTCCTGACCACCAATGACTACCTCTTCTATATGGCTTGGGTTATTCTGTTGTCTCCAGCAGATCGCATAGCCGTAACTGAATCGCATGGATTTTTTGATGGGAGAGGGGGCTTCTTAGAGCATAGGTCCTCCAGTGTGGCTTCAAGTCAAGCTCTGGCTCACCCTAGGAAGAAGGATATAAATGTTTTATAGTTAGCCTAGAAGACAACATAAATAAATCTCACTTCAGGGATTTGGGATTTTGGGGACATTGCTGAGAATAGGCTGTGCAGTTGGTGAGTACAATAGCAGCAGCAGAATTTCACAACGGCCTTGGCTCTTTCTGAAGGGGTTCTTGTGAAAAGCATGCTCACCCAGAGTGAAGTAGCATTTTAACATGGAAGAAACTATGTTCCCCGTGTGTCTTGTTTAATTGTCATAGCATTGTGAGTCGGGTGCCATTTTCCCACTGTATAGATATAGATGTAAACACTAGGGGCAATGACTTTCTCTAGCCTTCACACATCTCACAGGCGATGTACCTGGGACAGAGATCAAAATCCACTCTATCATCAAGATGAGCCAAGAATTTTAGCAAAGGGCAGGAAAGCCTTTGCTGTCACAATTGTGAATCCCAGCCAGGGCGGGGGAATCTTTTCATTTGTTTATTGCCATAGTCTAACAGCTATAGGGGATCCTTGGGCTTGGAGTTTTTATTTATTGAATAATTGACTCGGACAAACCAGGACGGAATTTAGTGGGCCGCCAGGTTTGGCCTGTGGCACTTGGGGAAGTGCCTAGATTTCTCCTCTGTTGCCTTAGCATGGCCTTTTCTGGGTAATGCCACCTTCTCTAAGGATTTCAGTTCTTTAAATGCTCTCCCTCTATCCTAGGTAGCCATGGAGATAAGCTGTTGGTCTGTATGTAAAAGAGGAATTGGATTTCCTGATGGTTTAGATATGATTAAATGCAGTATTTCTAGATGCACACATGGCAGGAGCTACTCTACATGTCTGACAATATAAGAGTCTGTGTTTGTAAAAGCTTTTCTTTAACCAAAGAGGAATCTGCTTTGTTGCTTATCCCCTGAGACTGTTTTGTCTCCGTGATCTCACGTGATCCATCCAGATAGGATGACATAAAGGACTTTGCGACTCAATTGAAATAAAAATGTCAGAATACAGAGAACATTCAAAACTGAACTGGAAGCTTTATAATTCTGTCATTTGAAATTACCTGAGTTTCTCTTTCATTTATAAATAATCATGATTTTACTCTTTTTAAACTCTAATCCTTGGAATCAGTTTTGTTCTTTTTTCATATTTAATGACAACATGTGTTTTTATTGGTTCTGTATTTATTTAATTTGTGTGGATAAAGCAGGGGCCAAAATTGGATCCTTGTCATCACCTGACATGGACTTACTTAGAGGCCTAACGGTTAGAGTCTAGATTTCTCTTTGGGGAAAAAGAGTGTGAGAGAAGCCTGGGCCTGTGTTCCTGCTCCTTGTTGGCATGTACAATGTGTGGCCAGAGTTCCTGCATAATCAGTTAGTACTGTCCTTAGAGGATGTTTTAGGAACAATGGAGGAGACAGTGTTTAGGGTATAGGAAGGCTGTACATCCTGGTGCAGAATGGGTCTATCCTGGGGTCTAACCAGACGTGTGCTTCAGAAGGCAGGGTGGAGTGAGATAGTACACAGTCAGCAGGAACTCACTGTCAGTGGAAATTGTTGCTAGGGCACAAACAAATCGTTTTTGTTGTGATTGTTGTTTTAACTTCAGGGACATAAGGTTTACCTGAAAGTTGTTGAAAATGAAGCTCAGCATTCTGTCTCTCAGTGGTTACCATAGGAGAGGGCTAAGATCTGAGATTTGCTACATAAAATTATAATTGTTTGCATTATCCCTCCTCCAGCTATAACATTTTCCCAAGCTATCACACCACAATCAGGACACTGACGTCTACACTATGAAGACAATGTTCTTCACACACCACAGTCAGGACACTGACGTCCACACTGTCAAGACAATGTTCTTATCACACCACAGTCAGGACACTGACGTCCACACTGTCAAGACAATGTTCTTCACACACCACAGTCAGGACACTGAAGTCCACACTGTCAAGATAATGTTCTTACCACACCACAGTCAGGACACTGATGTCCACACTGTCAAGACAATGTTCTTCACACACCACAGTCAGGACGCTGGTGTCCATACTGTCAAGACAATGTTCTTATCACAAGCTTTCCCCATTTACATTCCATATGCCTGGCTCCCTCTTACCCTTGCTCCCACCTCCTCTCTGAGTCCAGGAAACTCTGTATTTTTGTCATTTTCAACAGTGTTGTGTAAATGGAATGATGTAGTTTGTAGTCTTAGGGAATTGGCCCAGTTCTTTCCATCACATCAGTGGTTACCTATGTAGCTCATTCCTCCTCCTCCTTGTCTTCTTCTTTTCAAATTCAGGTTTTGACTTTGTCAGAATAAATCCCTAAAAATGCAATTTCTGGATTTCCTGGTTAGTTTTCTATGAATTTTGGAAGGGTGGGGTTCTTTAATTTTTATTTTTTTATGTCTCTCCTCTCCTATCTTTATATATCCATTGAAAGGCCATTCTTCCCCCATTGGAGCTGGCTTTGAACCTTTGCCAAAAAATATCTTGTGCATGCTGGGTTTCTGTTCTGTTCCGCTGAGTGCGTCTCTGCATCTTTCCATTCCAGCTTGGAAATGGGAGCTGTGGAATAATCTAGAAAATTGAGCACTGGTGTCTCCCTGCTGTACTGAGAATATTTTAGATTTTTTCTTTTCTTTTATTTCCTGTATACTGAAGAATAATTTTGCATATATTTATAAAAAGATAGCTATGATTTGGGTTAAATCTACGTTATCTATGGGAACAATTGACACCTTTATTATTCTGATTCTTCCATTCTTTGAACTTTGTAAAGCTCTCTGTTCATTTAGATTGCAAAAACTTTTTAAAAAATATACGTACATGGATGTTTTGCCTACATGTACATCTGTGAATTACTTAAGGTCAGAAGAGGGCATCCGACCCCCGGGAACTGAAGTTACAGAAAGGTGTGAGTTTCTGCGTGTGTGCTGGGAAGTGAACATCTTTTACAAAAGCAGCAAGTGTACTAAACTACTAAGCTGTCTAAGCCCCTAGTCATTTAGTTTCTTGAAGTATCGGTACTGTGTGTTGTTAGCTCTGTTTTAACCATGTGGCTTAAGGATCATCTCTTCAGACATATTTTCATCAACACAGATAAAACTGAGCAGAAGAGAAAAGGCCAAAGATGATGGAATGCATCTTAAAGACTTTTCTGAGGAGGCTTTCTGTCACAATGACCTTCCTTGTGGATGCGATCGTATAGAGCTGTTGTGGTTTTAAACCACAGCCAAATGAGGCAGCTAACCCTCCCAACTCTGCCTGTGTCTCTGGAGTTTATGAAGATCTCTCCACAGGTCAGGGTGATGGAAACATTCAGTCCACACCTTTCCTTTTCCCCTCTGTTAAAAAATTAGCATTTTGGTTATTCTCCTTCTCTGATCATGGCTAATGATCACCTGCCTGTGATCCGCTCATGATGTCAGACATCCGGTGTGAAAGTAGTACTACTACAGTTTTAATAAGTAAGTTGCATAAAAGTGAAGCAAACATTAAAGCACAGGTTTGACAACTGGCTGTTTGATAATTAGCCCAGTACAATATGATGCTGCTATGTCGGCCCTTGCTACTTCGTTTCCTTTTATTTTAATTTAAGAAGTGCCTGGGGGAAGGGGAGTGATTGTATTTGGGAAATTTGTGATGTTTGGAAATACAAAAAAACGTCATGTTCTTTCCTCTGTGCACGTAATGAAGTATTTCTAAACCGTCTTGGAAATGTGCTCAGTTTTCAGAAGAAAATGCAAGTAAAATGAAGAAGATCTACGGAGAATTCTGCAGCCATCACAAAGAAGCCGTGAGCCTCTTTAAGGAGCTCCAGCAGAACAAAAAGTTTCAGAACTTTATTAAGGCAAGTGCTGTTCAAGCTTAATTGCAGAGTGGGAGGCCACCGTGGGGTATTGTGCATGTTTGTGTTTTAATCATCTAAACAAGTTTCATATCGGCTCCATTTCTCAGGGGGAAGGAGAAGGAAGTGATGGGTTTATGGCAAAGATGGAAAGTCTAGAGAGTAGTAAGATATTCCTCCCAAAGCATTCTGTCTGCTGTCTGTATCTGTAACGTCAAATTCCCCAAGCCTGTGAGAATATTGGCAGGGTTCTGGGAAGTGGTTTCATACCTGGGCAAGTTGCATGTCTGAAAAATCAAAGCAAAAGCAAATAGAGAATCTGTTTATCCCATGGCTTTGCTTCAGAGTGGATTAATATGAACCAAATCCATGACATCATATAATTTCATCTACGTCTTTCTGAACACTTTTAAAGCATCGTGGTAACATTAGCACTTAATAAATTATCAGCCGTTTTCTGATATCTTCAATTTTCATTGTTCATCTTTTGAAATTGCGTTGGTCAGCTGGGACCTGGTCAAGGTTCATTGTTGTATATGGCAGATTTCTGTCTCTTCTTTATTGGTTTTTCAAGACAGGGCTTCTCTGTGTAACCTTGGCTGCCTTGGAACTAGCTCTGCAGACCAGGCTGGCCTCGAACTCACAGAGATCTGCCTGCCTCTGCCTCCTGGGAATTAGAGACACATGTCACTACTGCCTGGCTTGCAGTTATGTCTCTTAAATCTCCTTGACCTTGAATTCTCTTCCTTGGTTTTTCCCTACCTTTCTCATTTATTTATGGAAGAAATTTGCCCAAGCTTCTGGGTCCTGCATTCTTTATTTGTCATTCTATGAGTTCTACCAGATTCTCTTCCGGTTTTCTTTCTCACAAACATGTGCTGCGGGACTTAAATGTTTAGGAAAAGGATTGCCCTGTGACAAGAGACCTCAGGTGCCACAGTGTGTAATAGCAAAGATGGAGGAAGATATGTTAGAAAGGCAAATAGCAAGCATGCACACGTTCGTGATTGTTCAGAACCTTTGCTGATGCTGGACCCTGAGAGTTTGCTCATTTGGGGATTAGAAGTGCATCAGTGTGAGCTGAAACTCTCCATACCCTGGGCTCTGGTGATCAACAACAAAAGTACGAACTGCAATGACAATGTATGCATTTTAACTGATGGTGACAATGAAGTATGGACAAAGTATACAGTTGTGGATTTTGAATTGTAAATCCTTAAGTAAAATAATTGGTGTATATAAAAATGTCTATACTTTTCAAGATCCGAAACAGCAACCTTTTGGCCCGCCGCCGAGGAATCCCAGAGTGCATCCTGCTTGTCACCCAGCGCATCACGAAGTACCCGGTTCTGGTGGAGAGGATCCTGCAGTACACAAAAGGTGAGAGATGACTGCTGGGACGCTTTTGTTTCTCACAGGGTCTCTTAGCCTTCACGATGCTCTCATTGTGAGCAGGCTTCTAAAGCCTTTGAATTGGAATTCATTTTGAGAAATATGAGAAATTACTTTTTTTTAAATTACATTTATTTTGTGTGTGTGGGGAGAGACTAGATATGTTTATACATACACACACACACACACACACACACACACACACACACTAAATGTAATGTGTGATGGTCAGAGGAAAACTTGTAAAAGTTGGTTCTTTCCCTCTACCACTTATGGTTCTTTATGGTTTGATGCACGAGAGAATATGACAATGGTCTATAGAGAAAGCTTCGTTGATTTTGTTCTCAGCAAAAGAATGAAAACAAAATAGAGGCCTTTGAGTTTGCATCATGTGAATTCTCTTAACTTCCTACAACACTCTAGTGACAAAACTGTGTCCAGTAGTGTTAGCGCACCTTACTCCATCCATGCTTCAACCCGTGCCTCGTTCTTGGTAGGCAGAGTAGATGGCACCAGTGGGCTGCCCCACTTACAGTGCAAGCTGTAACTGTGAATTCTGCATCTGGACAGAGTCAGCATGGTGGCACAGAGGCCTCCTCCTTCTGGCAGGCGCTGTCAAAGGTTACTCCTGGAGCTTCTGGCCTTTGATTCATTTGACCATTGTGGCCCCGTGGTCCTCAACCTCACTAGCTGTCCCTTCACAAGGGAGTACATTTGCGTGCAGATGGGGAGTCGGTAGGTGTGAGTGGAGCTTGGTGGGGCAGGGTAGGGGCATTTGTAAAGGCTCCCCGGAGACTGGTGCTGCACCTTTTGAGTTTCAAGGCATTAGGGGACAGCGGTTTGCCAGCCTTTGAGCCTTCTCCCAGAATTACTCACGATTACTTGGTAATTCAACCTCACTTTTCTTTCCTTGGCTTTCCGAATTTTGAAATAGTTTCCTTAGAAGTAAATCTCCTTTCTGGAGGGGAAAGGCTCTGTCAGGGAGAGAGAAGCCATGAGGTGTGTGTGTTCTTTGGAAGGTAGCGAGAAAGACTCCTCCTTGGAGACACAGATATCAGGTGTGATCTTTAGATGCTCTGATCATGCTTGCATGAATCTGTACGCACGCTGAGAAGCTGGGATGTTTAGACATTTGGAGATCTGTTTGCCCTCCTCCTGGCTGATCTTTATAAATGTGTGTCCCGCAGCTGTAGGCTCTCAAGAGTCTCTGGTTCTCTGCCAGTTTTCTTTTTTCCCTTCTTCCCCTTCTTCCCCCTCCTTTTAGCTCTTCAGGTCCAGGCACCTGAGCAAATATCAACTAGCTGATCTTTATCATCAAATACAGAAAAGAGCTCAAGCCCCTTTCATCTGAGGTTTCCGGAAGCCATTCCAGGAGCTACTCCAGAGGCCTTCCTTAAGGTGGTCTGGAGGTGAGAGGCGTAGCCAGTGGTTTAAAGAACAACAGATGATAGTCTTGTTCTGTGTAGATAAACCTGGCTGGTTTTCTTGAGGCACAATACAGGGCCTCAAAATACGTTCATTTCCTTCATAATCAAAAGAAAAGAATAATGGGGCTAAATCACTTTAATTAGAATATTAAAATCCTCAATTTCATGCTAATATATCCCAGAAGGCAAATGAGTCTGGGGTGTTTAAATCACCCTGCGGCTCCATTTCAGAGGACGTGAGCATGACCCCAAGGCTGGGTTCAGTCCTTAGAAACACAGTGAAGGGTTTACTCGCTTTCCTGTTTCTAGGACAGGAGGAGTGCCCAGGTCAATCCATGGTCCCTGCTTAGATTACATTTGATCCATTTTGTTGCTGTGACAAAATAACCTGATGAGAAGCAGCTTCAGGAAGGGGCTGTTTGTCTCTCAGTTTGAGGGGACACCATCTGTCATGATAGGGAAAGGCATGGCAGTCGTGGTGTGAGGTTGTGGTATAAGGTCGCTGGCCACATTGCATCTGCAGATGGGAAGCTGAGATACATGAGTGTTGGCACTGGATTTGTCTCACCCTTTTTGTTCAGTCTGGGTCCCCAGGCCATGCAAAGAAGGTGGGACCCTCCTAAGTGAAATGTCCCTGGGAACTCTCCCAGAAATGCCCCGCAGCTTGCTTCCTAGGTTGTTCTAAATCTAGTCCCATAAACAATGAGGGTGAATGATGGCCCTGCTGCAGAGAGGCAGGCTTATCCCTGGAAGCCTGACATCTCACTGCCAGCTAATACAAATGCAAAGCTTTTATAGCAAGTATTGTATTGCTTCTTTTTGGTGGCCCAGAGAGATATTTTAATGTTTGAATTTAATCCAACGTCTTTCTTAGGGAATCTTTGTTATATTTAAAAACTTAAGACAAAAAATAGCCTCTCTTAGTATTCTGGATTATTATCATTTTCTTTCTTCTCTCCCTCATGCAGAGAGGACTGAAGAACACAAAGACCTATGCAAAGCTCTTGGCTTAATTAAGGACATGATAGCAGCTGTGGATCTAAAAGTCAGTGAATATGAGAAGAACCAAAAGTGGCTGGAGATCCTAAATAAAATTGAAAACAAGACGTACACCAAGCTCAAAAATGGGCACGTGTTTAGGAAGCAGGCCCTGATGACTAAGGAAAGGGCCCTCTTGCATGACGGGCTCGTCTACTGGAAAACTGCTACAGGCCGTTTCAAAGGTACCGTGGTCCCATCAGCCCAATCTCTCCTCCCTTTGTACATATCACTCATTCAACAGAGGACAGATGTTCGAAAGCAAAATAGCTCTGACTTGCAAGTACACCTCCAGAAACCCCGGACTATTATAAGTTGAGACATCTTCAAGTTGTGATGTTCAGCGGGTAAATGTGACTGGGGGATACACACGCTTGACTGGAGCTTGCTGTCCTGAGCGAAATCCTTCCCCTATATTTTCATGAGTATGAAAGCCTGTGATGTGTGACATCAAAGGAGTCGAGAGATCTGAACATCGTTGGCGCAGAAATACTCTGCTAAATGTGGTGTGTTAAAAGCAAGGCCAGCCCACACCTACACAGCAAGGATCTGCCGTGTGCCAAGACAACCTGGGGCTTTCAGACCGTGGAGGGTGAAATGAGAAAAGCCTAAATATCACCTTGGTTATTCAGTAATATGACACATCTACCTGCATACTGGCCCTGCGATAAGCTCTTTCTCAGTGGTTCAATTTGTTGACAGGCGTAAACTTGACTCTGTTAGTCTGCTTAGGGTCCAGGGCTGTTTAATGGTGTTCTCAAGGGCTTGCACTGTAGCTAGCACCTTGCCGTCATGTGCTTTCTCATATCTCTGGGACCTGAGAAATTGACGGCCCCTCAGGTCTCCTTCCAGAGAGTCTGGTATTATTGGTCCAGACCTGAAGACCAAGCTTAAAGGCTTGCCTATTCAGCCTCCTCTACAGCCTCTGAGGACCTTGTGTCTCCTTCATCTTAATTACATCTTTAGGCAAGTGGGAGAATAAGGATTTATTCTATTATAGTCACTTGAAGGTCATTGCCCACCAGAGGATGAGCAGGCTTGGATGGAAATTCAAGCAAAGGTATTCGCAGATGAGTAGCTTACGATGTTGTCTTGAAGAACTACAATTGCCATCCATGTGATGCTGTTTCTCTGCCCACTGAATAGCATCGTCTCTTTCGACTAGGCTATGCGGTGGTTACAGGAAGGGGGGAGTTCTTGCGAAGATTCCAAGTGACATAGAGAAATAAACTCTACACAGCCCAGATGGAGCAGGTGTCCCTCCATCACTTGCTGTGGAAGCTGTTCCCTTACAGTTTTTTTAATTAGCTCTATTTCCCCTAAAGGCAAGGGCATGCTCTATTCTCTTAGGCCTTTCTTTCATGGGGGAGGGGTGTGCATTGACATAAGGTCTTGTTATGTAACTCAGGCTGGCCTCAAGCTTGTAATCCTTTAGCCTCAGCCTCCCAAGTACTGGGATTGCAAGCCTATGCTATCTCATCATCTCAGAGCCTTATTTTATATAGGATTTTTCTTTCATTTTGAAAACTGTGCTGTGCTCTTAAACATTTCCTACAGAGTTGTTCTTGCTACAGTCCTATAGTTTTTCTGAAGTGCTGCATAGAAATATGTCCACTTAAACAACTCCCTATGCATTTTAACACTGATAGATATTAACTACTATAGCAAGAGGTTTTCTAAATACAAGTTTCCTAGAAAAGTCTTCCATTTTTGTTAAACAGATTTAAATGTCAAGCATGAAGTTAAAATAGCTAGTAAAGTCATCTAGGCTGTGGTTCCCTTCATTAATACTATCATGATTTTGTCTTTGAAGATATCCTAGCTCTGCTTCTAACTGATGTGCTGCTCTTCCTACAAGAAAAAGACCAGAAATACATCTTTGCAGCTGTTGTAAGTATATGACCACACAATGCACATTTTCACAAGTTGGTGCCGTGTTGCCTGAAGTTCCTAATAAAATAAAAAGGTCGCTTGACAAGACTATGTCCGTACTGTGTTCCCACTGCTATAACAGATTTCACAACTGGTTCAGCAGGCAGTTTAATCAATTGTGAAAATATTGAACTATTTTAGCATTTATGGTGAATAGACACTGTCCTCAGGGCTTCAAGAACCTCCCTACTGTCTGGCTATCTAGGTCTTTACTGTGGTCTCCATCCTCATCCCCATCTCCCATGCTTAACTCTGGCAACTGAGGTATCAATGCTGGGCATAGGTCATTTCCAGCATCCTGTTCTTTCTTTCTGCTGGATGGTCCTTTTGCCATGCCACTTGCCAACCTCATCTGTCACCTGCTGTGATAATGTCCCTATTGTCAAACAAGAGGACAGGGAAATTTCTAAAGGAGAGTATTTTTTCATTTCTCGTGGTGCTGGGGATTGAGCCCGGGACCTTTTGCATGCTAGACAAATGTGTTGCTACTGAGTAACTATGTCAAGCTCAAAGAAGAACCTCCCTCCTGCCATAGTGGCTTCTAATGACTACAGTCATTCATGTGTCCCTTCCCTTTGTGGTAAGTAGATCATTCTCGTTGTAGCACAAAAGTAGACTTTAACATATTTTATAAGTTCAACTTTAAAATATGAAGCAAGTTTAAGGTATTTTTGCCCCAGTAGGATTTTTAGCTGATAGAACCAGCTCCAGTGGAGATGGGGTAGCAGGTGGACGGGAGACAGAGAGAACCAGCACCAGTGGCAATGGGGTAGCAGTTGGACGGGAGACAGCCTCTCCTTTCCCCCTTCCCTTTTATCAGAGGCCTTCCATTGCAGAGAGCTGCAGAGCCTGGGCAGGAATGTAAATGAGTGAAGTCAACAGAGAGCATGATGAGGAGAGCAGGGACTGTCCTCAGCTAGTGAGTACACGTCCAGGGTCAAGGCGAGTCATGCTTCCTGAGCTGTAGCTGGTGTTTATAAATGAAATGAGAATATGGTCCAGGTTAGCCAGTCTTGTGTTTCTACCTCGCACTCCCAACTCTAGAGTATTTTTGAAGGGTGACAGATCCTACTCACAAATGTTGTTAACTTTAAAAAATACCTTTAACTTTCAAAGGCACAACAAAACATTCTTGTGGACTGTATTAGGTCTTTGCATAATCCGTATATAACATCTGTCTCCAAAGCTGGTGTGTTGCCTTCATTGTTGGGGATGTCGAATCTTGTTTTTCACTAGTGTTTGTGTAGTTCATATGAATAATGACAAGCATGCCCTTGATGCTGTCTGGTTGGTTGGGATTTAATTAATGCTCCTTTCTACCCTTTATTTATTCTTCACTTTGGAAAGATCTTGCCACCATCTCCCTTTCTCTGGAACACTGAACAACTAATAATTTTCCATCCTTTCACATCAAGCAGCTCAAACTCAGCTTACATTTTTACATACAGAAATAGGAGGCTGAAATATAGATCTCTAATACGAAAAGGGATCTTAATAATGTTTAGGAGACCCCTCTCATTACAGAGAGGATTCAAAATCGGCTTTACTCATTTACTCTCCTTTTCCAGAGTCCAAGCACGGGACTGGGTAGACCAGTCTGTTCCATCATGATCTATTTTTTTTTTCCTCACACTGCTCCGAAAAGCATGAAAACCACTGCAGAGATGCCTTGGCCAATAACTCTAGGTGTGGCATAGCTATACAATACTGGAAAGGCAGACAAGCCAGCAACAAGACATCAGAAGTGGAGAATATAGAATCCAAACTCTGGATAAAACCCAGTCCATAAGGAAAAAAACAAAACTACATGCTTCAGCTAGATCTGTAAACCGTGGTGGGAGCCACAGACCAAAGAAGATTTCATATCCCACATCCTTCTCATCCTGCAGACATTCTTTTGGCCCTTCTTTTAATCATGGCTCTTGAGCCAGGTGTGGGGCTATTGAGGTCTCATCTGTGAAGCTCCAGGGCATGGCATGGAGGCGCTGAAAGACCACAGTAAATGTTGGCAGAAGTTATTTCATTATACCTTGGACACCAACTCTTAGACTTTCTTCCAATTTCCCTCAGATGGAATTACGTTAAATTCAGTTCTGCAGACATTGATTGCATGGCTATACTATGCAAGGCTATGAGTCTGGCGTATGAAGATGATTTAGGTCCAGTTCTGCTCACCCAGTGTTCATCTGGTTGGTGAGGAAGAGCTACTTGCAGGTAGAGCTGCAGCAGTTCTGCAGCTGAGACCTGTGAGGCTGGAGCATAAGGGATTGGTGATGTCTAGGAAGTCTGAGGTCCTGTCTGCCCATTTCTACATTGTATCTGATGACTTAGCCCCTTAGTTCCTAGGGTTCTCTTTCCGGTACTGTCTTGCAATTATTTCTGATTCCAATGGGCTCTAACTTCTCATCCTTCACAATCTGATTGTAATGTCAGAGATACATTTTCTTCTTTGACCACAGTTGATCATATTTTTTCTTCACCATCTGATCTCTTTAAAATTGCCCTTTTAAACTACCAATCTTAAAAAAGCATTTACTTCTTTTTTTAGAATCTGTTTATCTCTCTCTGTGTGGGTGTGCGTATGTGAGTGCAGAGGCCAGAGGAAGCACCATGTCCCCTAGAGCTGGAGTCACAGGTGGCTTTGAACCACTCAGTGTGGGTGCTGGGCATCAAACTCAGGTCCTCTGCCAAAAGCAGTATTTACTCTCACCCATTGAGCCATCTTTCCTGTCCCTAAACTGACAGTCTTAAGGACAGTTATTCCCCTAAGTCTTCATTTTCCATCTGCTTTGGGGTTTGAGCAAGAAATGTCCCCCACAAGCTCCTATGTTGAATGCCATGTTTCCAGCTGATGGTGCCAAACACTGTCCTAGCCACGGGAGAGCTAATGTGATCTCCTTTCCCCTCTCCTTTGGAGAACTCTGATGTCTCTGAAAGGATAATGAGTGGGATGAAGTGAGTTCCCCAGTCCTGTTGCTTTCTGCAACTTCTTTCTCCCACGTGGCTCTCGGTTTAGAGACCCTGTTGTTTCATCTGTGCGTTTCCCAACTCTGGCAGGACCAGAAGCCTTCGGTTATTTCGCTTCAGAAACTTATTGCTAGAGAGGTCGCTAACGAGGAGCGAGGCATGTTCCTGATCAGCGCCTCATCTGCTGGTCCGGAGATGTACGAAATCCACACCAATTCCAAGGAGGAACGGAACAACTGGATGAGGCGCATTCAGCAGGCCGTGGAAAGGTAACCTGGCTGTCATTCGTCTTTGAGGTGTCCTTGTTCAGTTGGGGAATGTGTTCTAACCGTGTCTCCCCTGCATGAAAACTTTGCCTCAGCCAGAATTGTCTGCTCCCTGACCTTTGCCCCTGCCTGCCGTAGCATGTCGCCTGCAGCTGTGTCCTCTGCACACCTCTCTGCATGCTGTGCCTTCCCGCTCTACCTGTATGCTTTGCTGTGGCTCCTGTTCACCTGCTTCATGAAGACCTCTTCAGTCCAGGTGGTCTCTGTCTTACCTGACATGTGCCACATCACAGCCACTCTCTGAGGCTCTGGTTTGGCCCTTGCCATCTAGTGCCTGTAGTTGTTACATTTTACATGTAGGTAGACTGTATCCCCTTAGACTGGAAGCTCCTTGGGGGCAGGGACCCTATCTTCTGTTTCTCCGTGTGCCCGAAGAATCATTCGAATAAATGGCTGGCGAATCTCAATGTTCTCAGTTAACATATTGCTTGTTACTCGGGCAAGAATGGTTTTGATAAATGAGGGGCAAAGGTGGGAATTATAATCCCTGTTGGTAATTCCTCCCATCTCTACCACACCTACCCCATATGGAGGCCTGCTGTCTGTCCTACATCCCTTCCACTCTAGCCCTATTGAGGAGTTCCATAATGGTACAAACCCCAAATTCTATTATCTTAGCTGTACTGATGATAGTGGTAGCAGTAGGGGGAGGGTTGGAATATTTGCATCATCCTATAGAGCTGACTTTGAATCTATGTTGTAATGTGTGTGTACCCAAGAAAACTGATCTTTTGAAAAGAAAGAGGGAACAATGAATTCTCTTCATGCTGGTTTTTTTTTTTTTTTTTTTTTGGTTCGTTCCCTTGCCAAATTCCCATGTTTTTCTAATAAGCTTAAAGATCCTTGGAACTCGTTTCAGTGATGCCTTGACTGTTGTCTTTTAAAGTTGTCCAGAAGAAGAAGGAGGAAGGACAAATGAGTCTGATGAAGAGAGGCGGAAAGCTGAGGCCAGAGTGGCCAAAATCCAGCAATGCCAAGGTACGAAGTATGTAGCTCTGGCTCCCGGGTCCTGTGCTCTTGAGTGGTGGTGATCACTGGGATTAATTGTGAGCATCTGAGGTCTGCACTGCCCACCCTCCACCTTTGAAAACCACCAGTCCATAGATAAGGAAAAGTGACTAAGATACTCATGGAAATACACATAACCCATAGGGAACCATAATTGTGGGTCACGTGGTGCTGGTGAGCACTGGAGTTGCTGCCAGGTGCAGCTTCTGTGAGTAGACAAGCTCAGCAGGAGGGTCATCGAGTGCCCTGTGAAGCCAAGAAATACATTATCTCACTAACTCTCAACTCCACGGCCGATGTTAGAGTCACTTACCAAAGCTACAGAGAAACCCTGTCTTGAAAAACCAAAAAAAAAAAAAAAAAAAAAAAATTGCTGTGGGGCTGGGTGATGGTGGTACACACTTTTAATCTCAGCACTAGGGAGGCAGAGACAGGTGAATGTCTGTGAATTTGAGGCCAGCTTGGTCTGCAAAGCGAGTTCCGGGACAGCCAGGACTGTTATACAGAGAAAACCTGTCTCAAAAAACAAAACAACCAAAAAAATTTGCTGTCTTCTCCTCAATTCCCTTAACCAACTGAAGCAGGGACTCTCTGGATTTGATGCTAGTTAAGGTCTCTGTGTTCTAAGACTCTTGTAACACACTGAAGTCAGGGAAAACTGATGCATACAAAGATGGTGTTTAGAAGCAGAACCACAAACTGGCTCTGGCTCTGGCCAAGACTGACGTTGACGACTGAAGCTTCCCAACCCTGCACTGTTCACCCCAGGAGCTTTCACTCGTTGAAGAGAGGGCTGCCTCAATTCACTCTGCAGAGCTGGGGATTCAGTCTTAGTAGAAAGCTGTCCCCATAAACAAAGAATACCTTTGCGAGGTTGTCCGGAATTTGGAGAATGAGAGATGACATTTATACATTTATTTATCGCATGCAGTGGATGATGGGAGAGACGTGAAGTCACTTGCAGGAGGTAACAGTCACTAAATGAAAATTTGAATCTGGGTCTCTCCCACCCAACGAAAGCATTGGGTCCAACTGCTTGCTGAATTGTGGTGTCTTCTTCCCCAACTTGATTTTTTGTATTAGTTCTGTAACCATGCTCATGATAATCTCTTACAATGAATTTTATTCCCCAGAAATACTCAGTAACCAAGACCAACAAATTTGCATGTATTTGGAAGAAAAACTGCATATCTATGCTGAACTTGGGGAGCTGAGTGGCTTTGAGGATGTCCACCTAGAACCTCACCTGCTCATCAAGCCTGACCCCGGAGAGCCTCCCCAGGCAGCCTCCCTGCTGGCAGCAGCCCTGAAGGAAGGCAAGTTGCTCTGGGAATGGATTGGTTTGACAGATTCAGAACATGTTTATCTACGCGTCACACACGGCGGCCTTGGTGCTGAGGGTAAAACAGGATGAAACAGAATACCTATGCTCCAGAAATTTCAAAGTATAAAGAAATTCGTATGTCAGACTATGGAGTGCTATGATGAAAAATGAGCAGAATAAAGAAGTGGGGAATTGCAGAGTTATAGAGAGGGGGCGAATCTACTCATATTGGGTGTCCAGGACCATTATAATGGAAGCAGAGTAGTAGACAGATTTGGGGCATGTTTGGGAAATAAAGCAAAGTATGCTGATGGGCACCCATAATGCCCCTCTCACAGGACAAAGCCTTAATGGACCAAATCACTTGCTCTTATACTTAGCCAGTGGCTTCTACTTTCTTCTCTCTGTCAAATCTTCCCTAACGAGAGCTGGGAAGTCCACTGGCTTTTGTTCTTTTGGCTTAGCACATGATGAAGGAACTTGGATACACTCAGGGGAACCCACAGCAGTGGAGGCACGATGTAGGCCATGTAGGCTGAAGATGAGAATGCATCCTGGTTCACTGATCTGTTGACTGCAGCTGAACAGGGCCTCTCATCAGGGTGAGGACATCATTGTTTCGAGAAAGACAGTTGAGTGCACACATTGAGAAGCCCCTTTGCTCTGCTAGGCTGCTATTTTCCTTCCGAGCTCTTCTTGAATCCCACCCATCCTTTCAGGTCTGCTCAGTTTCCACCCCTTTTTAGGAACTTCTCCCCAGTCCCACTGGAGACTGTTGCTCTCCTGCGCCTCTGTGTGGCCAGAGCTGCAAGCGTCTCCTACCCCTCTCTTTCAAATCTCCTTGGTTAGTCATCAAAGGAGCCTAGCACCAGGACAGTAGATGCTCGGTGTGTAATTTTCTCACCTGAATGTGGTCAAAACATGGTGAGAATGCTTGAGAAATAACTACAAGTTCCTCGAAATAGTAATATTCCACATGCTAGCTGAGACTCCTTTATGCGCGTAAACGTGTTTCCTTTTTTGGTGTGGTAATTCCCAGGAGGACTAGAGCACAGATGGGAATGTGTGTTATTAAAAGCAAGTTTGAAGAAACACTCTTTTGAGGAATAACTAATATTTCTTAGAAACAGGATAAAAATCCTAATACCTATATTGTATACATTATTAGTTGTATTACTAGTTTTCAGCATACTAATTTACTGAAAGTTGCACCTGAGGTAGTTTATACAATGTATTTTTAAAACTGTGTTAAATTCTCTATGCAAAAGGGTGTTGTTGTCAATTGGTATAGACTACAGGGTTGTATAATTTTTCCGTAAGGGACCAGCTGTAAGTGTTTTAGTCTTTGCAGGTCACACCCTGTTTGGGATATGTTTGTGTGTGTTTATGTGCCTGTGCATATATAACCTTTAGTGCTATGAAAGCAGACTAGGGATATAATGCAGTTGGTGCAATTCTTGCTGAACATGTTTGAAGCCCTGGGTTCGGTTATTGCATCATAAAACCAGTCATGGTGCACATGCCTGAAATCCCAGGACCTGAGAGGTAAAGGCCGCAGGGCAAGAGTTCAAAGTTAGCCTCAGCTGCATAGGTGTTTGAGACCAGCCTGGACTCCTATTTTGGGAGGGGAGGGGGTTACTTAAAAAACAAAAACAGAAAAGTAAAGCCAAGCTACAGGTCTCAGTCTACATAACAACAGTTTCAGGCCAAATATGATTTATCAACCTTTTATCAACTATAGTATCTAACCATTGGGATGCAACAGATTGTCATCTACAAAGTTTGTGCTCAAGAGCCAGGTGACAGAGTTACAATCAAATTAATTAGCTCACAAGATGATCACAAGTAAATTTACAGTTTTGCGTTGAGCGTTCTTTGTGGTGAGCTGGGCACACGCGGTCCACCTGGTGCACCTTGGCCACAACTGGTAGACTAAGCCGCCTCTCTATCGATCTGTTGTTTAAATCTACTTTTGTTTTCCTCCTTCTTAGCTGAGAGTCTGCAAGTTGCTGTGAAGGCTTCCAAGATTGGCGACGGAAGCCAGTCACCTGAGGAAGGCTCCGGAGGAGCTGTCCTGACTGATGCGTTCAGTTCACAGGATGTACCAGCATCGCCAGCTGCTTGTAAGTGACGGTGAAGGCCTTGGCAGTGAGCCTGAGCACAGCCCAATGACACACAGCGATCGCATAAAATGAAAACAGTAACTGCCTGATTTCAAGGGAGTTTCATGTATTTTTTTTTTGTAATTAGGGGAAAACAAAAACCTTGAGAATAATCATGCTGGCCATAAATAGCTATTATGTGACTATTAATGATACTCGTATTCTCAGCACAGAGTCTTATGTTGGTGGGGTATACTTTCTGTCCCCAGGTAAGCATTGCGTTGTCCCCAGATGACACCTCCGTTTTCATGACTTCTTGGATGGATTTTTGAAAGGACTTTTAAACCTTTTTAAAGGGTCTCTGCAATCCACTAAGGAAACAAGTTTTCAGGCATAATGTTATGGGCATCAGCTAAACAATCAGGAAACTAGGAAGCACCTTCCACTTCCTACCTACCCAATGATACACAGACCCACATGTGAAGTGTAAGGTTTGGCGGTATGACTATAGGCACAATTGCCAAAGAATTCTTCTTGCAGTTTTGTGGTACCTGGGTTATTGACCCCAATGCCTCGAACATGGTAGGCGAGAATCTCCTACTGAGCCATGCCCCCAGCCCTCATGAGATCCTTCGTTGGGTCGGAATATTCCATGCTTTGAGCAGCCAAGGTTGGTCTCAGAGTTGTGATCCTCCTGCCTCAGGAGTGTTGAACTGGCAGGTGGGCACCATTGTATCCAGTGGTCAATCCGTTTTAGAGAGAAGAGGTAGAGAATGAGTTTAGCAATGTCTCAGAAGCCAGCCATGCTGTTTTATGTATGGTTTTAAGCTAAATACTGAGTTCCATATCGAACTCTAAAATGAGAACACAGAGTATATTTTTCCATCAGGTAAAGATGGTAAAAGCTTCACTCTAAAAGAAATTATATGCAGATAACATGTCTGTAATAGTTACTTTTTTTTTTTTGACAAAATCCCATGTGGCTCTCATATTGGCCTCAAATTTACTATTGTAGTTGAGAATGGCCTTGGATTCCGGATTCTCCCGAGTGCTACCACGCCCGCTCTATTTTAGAGTTTCTTTAACAAATCCTTTGGCTCAGTAGAAGTCCATAAGCAGTATACCTGTATCATGTATACATTTCTTGTTGTCATTTTATCACCAGCACCTAAAATTATTTTTCCCCTCTCAAATTCTGCTTTATCTAATCCTGGCTTTCTATTTTCAGAGTGTGCACATATGTTTTTCATTTCGAGCAGCTAGATTCATCAGGGGAGCTGTACCGCTCTGAGTGGCTTCCTATACAAGAGCCTCATTATGCCCTTGAGGAAGTCTTCTCTAAAAATACAGAGGGTCTGCCGCTTTCCACCCCGCCCCAAGGACAGCTGGGAGGCTCCACTGCGCCCCTGCAGCTGTTTGGAGCACTTGGCGGCTCCTCCCATCCCTCCAGGCTGGGCAGTGAAGGTTCTCCTCCAGCAAAATCCACAACTCACAAGGTGTGGGAGCCCTCCAATGGGACACACATTTGCTAGAGCCAGAGCAGTCTGCCATCAGGTCAGGCAGGGAGGCCTGGGGTGAATCTTGTATACCAGAGGCCATGCATTTTGGGTCTGGATTTGAGCATGGTGCTACGAGGTGTCTGATTTTTTTATAGTTGTTAAGGGTGGACAGTTATTCCTCGTTGAAGGCACGGGACAGAGAGTAGTCTGTAGTGGGCCCTGGGGTGGCTCTTGGTGAAGCAAGCCCATATCAGTTAGAGGTTACATATCAAGCAAAGTTCTGTTTTTATTCATCAATATACCTAATCAAGGCAATTATGGTCTACTTTGTAGAATGGCGGGTCCAGCTGAAGCTGAACCTGGGGGCACAGACACTGGCGGAAGTTCCAGTCTTCTACCTCTATTGGGCTCCACATCCGCTTCCTCCTACCTTTGACTGTTAATGTGAGGGAAGGGGGAGAGAAAGACTTGTTTGGAAATGACCTGGATGTCTCCTGAGGTGTTAGGAAAAGCTGCTAGACACTGTCCCCCCCATCATGGCATAAGCATTGATCAGTCTGGACACAATGAACGTGGTTTTCACTTGATTCATTTGCAATGGCTTCCACTGAGGCAGAAAACTCTAGTTTAGAAGAGGCCTTTGGAATCCTGGGCAAATGTCATTTTACAAAGATAATGCAACTGTTTTTATCAAACAAAAAGAAAAAGGCATTCCCTTGTTAGCGACACCGTATTTAAAAGAAAAACATTACAAAACTCATGCCAAAATCAGTATTTGGATCAGGGTTCTGATGAGACATTGCTCTATGACCTGTGTGCGTGGCCCAGCTTTGATGAGCCTGGTTTGAATCAGTGAGAGGTGAACACAGTCTAAGTTTCACTGAGTTCACACACATTATTATTTCAAATAAATAATGAAATGCTGCCGACTGAGGTCTCATGGGTGAAAGTAAATTTGTATTTGGTACTCACCATCTCTGGACCGGTTTCTGTGTTTCCCTAGGTTAAGTGTACAGTATTTACAATGTTAACGCTCAAGTGGGGGCCGTGAGAAAAGCTGGAGCTGACGAGAAACTGGAGCAGGCTCTCAGTTTTAATGACTCTGAAGCTGTAAGGCACTAGCCACCTCCAGCCTTCTTAGCGCAGGACCCCTTTCGCCTCCGCATCTTCCGGCTAGACTTTGGCCACCAGCTGCTGCTCTTGTACTGGCCACGAGGGAGCCTTTTACGGACCTGGGTCTGCCAAGAGACCTTGCTTTTGTTCCTCCGGGTACCTGTTTTAAATTTCTCCTCTCTGGGGAGGCTTTTTTCCTATTTCACGAAAGTGAGATGTAAATTCACAAACAGCACATGGACATATCAGCCTAAGGAAGAAGCGCAATTAAAAAGATGGTGACAGAGGATGCTGCTTGGTATTCCTTAGCCTGTAAGCTCCATGAGGGCAGGGACTGCGGGCTTGCTGTGCCCGGCTCTAGCGCCCTCTATAGGAGCACCCAGAATGTATCACCTTGTGATGTTTCTTTTTTCTTTTTTGAAGTGTGTGTCAGTTGTGTACAGAAGAGCCCAATTGGCTGGCTGATGTTTGATGTTGTCCTTTTTGTTTCTGTCTTAATGGCGTGCTTCCAGCACTAGTCACAGAAGGGACAGAAGGAAGAGGCTGTTGGGATGTGGATCCTGGGCTCCAGGGTGTGGTAACGGACTTGGCGGTCTCTGATGCAGGGGAGAAGGTATTGTTAATTGTTAACCAATTTGTTAGTAACCAGCATCCGTTGCTTTGTATATATAGTAGCCTCAGCTATCAGGCAGTGAGTGGGTTGAAAATACTTTTTCTGAATTGTTTCTGATTCTCTATTGAAACTTTCTAATCTATTCTTTAAATGTTCGTGTTCTTTCTATATCATATAGGTGTAAAAAACAACTGAAAAGTTATTAAAAAAAACAAACAAAAAGCTTGAAAACCCTCATGTGTATGTGTGTGTGCGCTCTCTGACTTCCAGGCTTCCTTTCCGCACTGCAAACCTGTGCTTTTCCTCACTACTTTTGGCAACTCTGTGGCTGAGAGGCTTCCCCGGACCTTGGGATGCTGCACCACCAGATGGCGCCACTGGAGCTGAACTCGTTTCCACTCTGGGAAGGTCTTGCTGTCCTCTGTCAAGACTTTCCACTCCTCTTCACCCACATTCCACCTTCCATTTGCAGACTTTGAATTCGCGTAGCCACGTTCTGCCTGTGGCAAGGTGTTTCCAAACGCTGCTCTCTCTCTCTGAGTCTTGATATCTGTAGACGGCAACTCTCTCTGTAGAAATTGCATGTGTGCCATTTCTTATTAGCTTCAAGCGTGTGATTGCATAAGCAGGGGAGGAAATAGCACTCCGGTTCGGGGAGGTGGCGAGTCGGTTCAGGAGTTTTTGCTTTGTCTAGCACTGGTTTAACGCCACTGCCAAGTACTGATGTGGATCAATGTGAGAATATGGCACATGCGTATCATGGATGCAACATTTTACTGTTACATGTTTTTCCGATATGTGACATAGGACAGAACCAAGTCTGGCTTTCAGAATTCCACAGGCCTGTCTGCTCAGATTTAGTATTCACTTGCAAAGTCCAGAGGCCTGAGTTAACCTATGAATACAGAGTTTTACCGTCCTTATTCTGATTGTAAACACTGAAACATCTTTGTTTACAATGCTCCTACTTCTCCATGCGATCTTCGCTCTGAAGCCTGCAATATGTAGCCTTTAACTGCTCCTAGGATTTTAGGGAGGGAAAGAAAGTTGGCAGTGGCAGAATAATTCGGCATAGAGAGTGGTTTGGCTCCTATCCACGGCTCAGTCACAGGAGGCTGAGTGAGATGCTGTGTCCAGATTCCTCTTTCTATGAACCTGGAAGAGCTGACCTTTGATGGAGCCTCTGAAAGAAACTGAGCTATAGGACAGGGTCCCTTGGCTAAAATTCTAAGCAAGTGTATAATGGATGTTTTAGCATTCATGTTCTTAATAAGATAAGGTTAAAAAAAATTCGGAAAGAATTAAAAATTAGACATTCTCCTGCATAGTGATCAACTGCAGTTATGGCGTAGAACCACCAGGTGGCAGATGAACTCCATTAAAAAGACGATCTGCAGTTTCTTGTCTCATCCCAAACCCAGTGGTTCTAGCTGTAACCACCTTAATCCAGTTTAACGTAATCTAACTCGTTTCTGCATATTGACTTCTTTATAGAGTATATAAGTATAAATATTATATTATTTTTACCACAAAAGTTGTGGCTAGACAAAGGGGGGGGGTCCATAAGAAAAGCAAGACCCACCCAACTGGAATGCTTAGCCCTGGTGTCTTCCACACAGCCGGGCAGAGTTCTGGGGTACTGACACGTCATCTCCCCATCAGCCTTTGTCCTTTCCCTGTTAGAGGGATAGCTTAGCAACAGCATCTCTAACTGGCAGTATGAAGAAAAGGGGATCGGGCTAGCCCATCGCCTGACTAGGCTAAGTGACTCATTTGGCAACAATGAAAGCTACTTGAGGAGATCGCATGTCTGCCTTTCTTTAGGGCTTAAAATGACATGTGCTCAGACAAACGCAAGCATCCTACAGAAACTGTAGGTGCCCAGAGCTAGGGAAATGGATGATTTTCCATCTCATAAAATGTGGAGTTTGTAGTGTTGATTGCTCCAGAGACTCTGGGCATCTTGTAGTCATTTACCTGTTGAGCGTCCCTTACATGCCAGGCACCATTCTTAGGTTTGCAGATACAATATTGAATACACAGTCTTACTCTTCATTGGTTTACTGATGAGAGAAGACAGACAATAAATAAACAAATGCTTAGTGCCATTAACTAGACACCCTCAGTATCTACCTGTTCCCCAATATTCAGTGGTATGAAAGAGACAAAATCTGAGGCATGCGCTCCATTCCCCAAGGAGAAGATGGCCAACCTTGTGTGGCTGGCTTCCTTCACGATTATTTAACCAGACTGGTGATTAATTGAGGTAGGATCTGGGGGACACTAAGTGTTCCCCTGGGGCCATCTCTCTGTACCTTGGACATCATGAGTCTCCAACATTGAGATGGAGGCCGTGAGGCCCTGTGATGTTCCATGGCTTCCAGAGAGCCCTGTGTAGCAGACTATCCCTGGCAGCGAGCCAAGGGTTCGCTGAATTTCTTCACTGTCGTCTGTGCCATTGGAAGGCATGATTGGCTAAAGTTGTCACGCATCTCTAACTCCGAGTTTGAGTGAGTGAGACCTGCAATGTCAGGGGGCCGTTTAATTCTGCAGGCATTTCTCCCTAGAAGAGACGGTCATGATAGCTGAGGTAACGGAGGTTAGAGAGGGAAGCTCATATATTAGGAAAACGCAATGGCTTTCAAATGTCGGGCGGCTGTTGATTTTCTCATGTTTTTATGTGTTTTAGGTGGAATATAGAAGTTTCCCAGGTTCTTCACAGTCGGAGGTGAGCTACACATACTTGAATCATATACCATCCTTTCTCAATTTGTAGCTAAGGAAGCTTTTCAAGAATCTGACACATACAATCCTTTCTCCCCCCAGATCATACAAGCGATACAGAATTTAACCCGTCTCCTCTATAGCCTTCAGGTAATGACTCTCCTGCAATCTCCACCTTTTGAATGTGTCTTTCAATGTCCTCTGATGATCCCCAGACCTTAGAAATTAGCACATCTGAAAGGTGGTAAGCCATCTTAGAAGCGTGCCAAGCCCTGAGGTGTGACTCCGCTGGATGAGCAAGGTTCACCTGGTTTTGTATTCAGGAGGCAGCCTGACACCACCACATTTTACCCCCATTCTTCTCCGAAACCGTAAACCGGTTCCTGCCTCTCAAAGACAGCGATGAGTCCACTCAGGCCTGACACAGGGACATGCTTAGCTGCGTGCAGCGCGACTTCACATTTCCTGATGAAAACTTAAATTCTCACCTGAGTGCGTGTTGCTTCCACATGTGGCCTTGGTTGGGGAAGAGCAGTTAAATCACTTGCACGCTCTTTTGTGGTGTAGTTCGCTCATTACTCGATACTTCTTGGGTGTCCTTTCTGCGCTGGGCACTGTGCAAAAGGAGTGCTGGGCACTGTGCAAAAGGAGCGCTGGGTACTGTGCAAAAGGATAAGCACACAAAAGCAAAGGGGCCCCCGAGCCTCCTGCTGACGGCTGGTTATCTTTTAAGGAAGGCACAAAAATCACCCTTGCATTGTGCATTTAGAGGACTGGGAAATCCATCCCTCGGGTGATGCTCACTAAAGCGGCCATCAGTGCACCCAAAGTGCTTTGTGTGATGATTAGAAAATTTTAAGGCTACCAAGGCAATAGTTATAGAGTAGAAATTTTTGAGAATAAAAAAAAAATCAAATAAAATGTCCTATGGCTCTAAAGAGAGAATTGATGTTGCCATGCTAATTAAAAAAAAAAAAACTAAAAAGACATTGGTTCCCATGTTGTGGGTACCCCTGTAGAATTTAGATTGCTTCTTGTTACTCGTTGGTAATACACATCTTTCCATGGCAGCAATTTTTCTGCAACATAATTGTTAATGTATGTATAGTATTTGGGCCTATAGAATTTATTCAGTTCCAATTATTTATATTTGTGTTATTAATAGTACAAAATATCAATATCCTCATATTCAAATATCTTTAGCCATATTTGAATGTCTCTTTAGGCTAAGTTACTAAAGATACCATTTTGCAATTTTGTTCAACTGCCAGAATTAATCAATCATATCTTTTGTTTTTTTTTTCTCTCTTGCTTTCCTTCCTTCCCCTCCTCAATTTAAAAGTGGAGCAAGATATCAGATTATATTAATGTGTGCTTCCTTACTTATTATTAAGACCAAACATGTTCCCTCAATTTTTCGTTAGTCTTTTGTAGCTCATATTTTATATCATAGGACTGTTAGAGGAAAACTGGGTCTAAATTTGGAGCAGAAAACATAAAGCCATGGGTTCGTTAGATGTTTTCTTGTTTGTATTTTGACACTGCCAAACCTCTTTTTCTTGAGCACTGTTGATCTCACGCTCACTCTTGTTTCAGTACCGGGACCATTGCTTCAGTTGTTAAAGCTTGGGTCACAGCTGAGCATACGGAGACACTAGCTTCCTCTTAGTATTTTTCTATATGATTTGCACATTTTTCAAAGTTTCTAAATCACTTTGTCCATTTCCTGCCCTTCTACCGAGACCATTATATTAAAATTGCATTGTATTCATGAATTCAATGGAAGAAAATTTGTGCTTCTTCCACGATCAGTTACCTTGTGAAGGAACAGGCTCAGTTGCCTCTTATTTTAGGTTGTGCAGGAAGCTTTATAATTGTCTTCATATAGGTACTATATAAATTTAAAAACATATGTTTATGCTTCTCCAATTATGATTGTTTATAAAAATACTGGGTTTTTTATGTACTTGTTTTATTATCTGCCAACTTATTTATCTTTAGTTTTTGTTTTAATAAATTTTCCATGGATTCTCTGGAATGTTTCAGGTAGAAAATTTGAAAAAAATAGTACTATGACTATTCTTCAATAATTTTATCAATCGCATTTTCTTGGCTTATCACGTTGGATAGATAGAGGAGTATCTAGCTTTCTAACATGGTGACATAGCATTGTCATCTGTACATAAATGTGTTGGGCTGTATTCAAGGCTAACCGGGGACACATGTGACATCCACAGCACAGGTTGGCTATGCCTCCCTCTGAAAATATGCTAACAGTGGTGACAGTAGCTTCTTGTCTGGTTCATACCATGTGGGGATGCCTTCACTGTCTCATAGACGGTAGGTGTGACACAGATGATCTGGGGGGTCCATTTATCGCTGAAGCAAATGACCTGGTTTTCTTGTAGATGTCAACTGGGAAGCTTTGGCTTGAGAAAGGACATTAAATTCTCAAGGGCTGGAGACCTTGGGCTTCCTGACTTGTGAAACCTGATGAGAATATGTAGTCATTTTGTTGCTGTTCTCCACCCCTGAGTACAGCCCTATGTGGCTCTTTGGTCCAGAAGAGTTTAGCAGCCTATTGACCTCAGTTTTGTAATATGTTAAGTCAGTGGTTCTCAACCTTTGGGCCATGACCCCTTGGTGGGAGACTTGGATGACCCCATAGGGGTCATTTGAGACCATCGGAAAATACAGATCTTTACATTATGATTCATAACAATAGCAAAAGTACAGTTATGAAGTAGCAATGAAAATAATTTTATAAATGCGGATCACCACAACAAGAGGAACTGTATTAAAGGGTGGAAGCCTAAGGAAGGTTGAGAACCACTGTGTAAAGTTGGATCCAAATGGGAAATATCAATGCTTCCAGTAAGTTCCCCTCACCTAAGTAAGCTTTTGAGCCAGTCTTAGGATATGGGGTGTGACATTTCTGTTTTGTGGCATGGCTCTCTCCTTAGAAACTGAACTCCAACCCATTTCTGAAACATGAAAATGACAATTGGTTCCTATAGAAGAGTTGGAGAAATATAGGCAGGCTGACAAAGAAAAGGTCACAGATAATTCTACCCAGTAAGTGAAATGAGGGTGAATTAAGACTTCCTAAACATAAATGTAACTTTAAATGTAGAAATCAGTGTGCAGTCAAGTATATGTTTGTGAGAGGGAAGAGAATGGCCTTATCCCAAGCTCACACAGGCATGATAAAGTCTTTTTTTGGGGGGGAGGGGAATTTTTTCGAGACAGGGTTTCTCTGTAGCTTTTGGTTCCTGTCCTGGAACTAGCTCTTGTAGACCAGGCTGGCCTCAAACTCACAGAGATCCGCCTGCCTCTGCCTCCCGAGTGCTGGGATTAAAGGCGTGCGCCACCACCACCCGGCTCATAATAAAGTCTTTATTGTTGCACTGAGATATCCTAATTGTAGACCTTATGCAAGAGCTAATACCTATTAGATTTGATGTGCAAAATATTGGGGTTTGCTTTATAAAGGTACTGATACCCTCGGGGTCTCTTGATATTAAGTGGTGGCAGGATCTACAGTATGGTTTATCAATGCTGATTATCCCATTTTTAAGGCCAAAATGGTGGTCCCCGTTCTCCATGAAGACCGTTCTTCTAAGAGCTCTCTAAAGTCCTGTCTCAAGAGTGACCATGATTTTTCAATTAATTTTTGAATTTAAAAATGCAAATTTTATTTCAAAAGACCCCAGTGAATACATTTTTGAGTCTTATTCCAAAGCAAGTATGAATTTAAAATAATAGAGTTTGTTAACTTTCAGAAGTAGAGGAAAGTGCTGATCTCACCAAAAAAAAAAAAAAAAAAAAAGATGGTCAGAATTCCTTCTTCCCAGGGTGTGTGTTACATGGGCAATTTAAAAATGTCTTAGGAAGGAAAAATGTGAATTTATCCCTAGGCTTGTAATGACATCTCATTCAGAGTCAAACCGTGCACACATGCCTGGTGTGTGTCTGCAATTTGTTCCTTCTCTACTTCTTTACACTTTAAATGGGAACTTTTAAAATTAAAAGCTTCCAAGGGCATTCACAGTAGGTTGTTGCTGTTGTTGTTGTTTTGGTGTAGTGACATCTTTTCAGGTCCTGGTAACTATTTCCTGTAATGTTGTCCAGCTTTTTATAGGTAAATACTTGAGTTAAAAAAAATTTTTTTTTAATGTTTGTTCATATCTGCTGGTATTTAGAGTATCTATTTCCCCTTAACCACTGCAGCCTCCTGTTAGCAATCTAGTTAACAATGAATGACTTTAAGCTTAGATTTTTTTTTTGTATGACCTGCTTGCTCTAATGCAAAAACCTAGCAGTAAAGAGACTAGCTCTACCCAATTCCATAGCTCCTAAAAATGGTATTAACTGTGATTCTAGGGCATTATGTTATAAGAAGGCCATTTGCCAAAAGTCTCCAAATAGTTGACTTTTATTTTTATGTCTTCATGAAAGCAATGTATAAAGCATAAATAATTTCTGGTTTGAGACTCAAATAAAAGATACCACTGTGTTTATATAGATTCTTAAATTCCCACAAATGATTGACCAGAGACCTCAGAAGGAGAAGGAGACTATAACAGGAATTTAGAGTCTTGTGAATTTACACACTAAATTTTTACCCAAAGGACTGACTTAAATATAACCCAAGAACCAACAGCCAATCACTTCTCCAGAAGCAGGGACGAGAACAATCGACCCTCTGTAGTCATAAGTTTTTCGTCCTTGGATTTAACCACCCTTGGACTGAAAAGATGGAAAAACCAATTCCAGAAAGTTCAGGAAAGCACGGTGCTTTCTACCCTTCCCGTGTGGGTAAAGTGATGCATAGATGGCCCATTAGTTGTCACAAGCAGTCCCGAGGCAACTTAAAGAGTTCAGGTGACAGGATATGGGTGGGTTATGTCTTATTACTAAGCGCTGTCAAGTAAAGACATGAGCATCACCAGGTTCAGGCATCCACTGGACTCCCCAGACCAAACTCTCTTAGATACCAAATGCCAATGATACCGATCGTCTTATTTCCTTCCTGTATAACCCCAAGTCATACCGATAGGAAATGTAGGCAAGCCTCTTGGAAAGCTCAAGGTGCCTTGGGATCTCACTTGGAAAGTCGCAGGATGTGACAGAAAGTAACCCAGCCAAGACTCATGATTTAGAGCTATTTCCAACAAAGAGGTCAACAGTCCATGAGCTGTGCTAACCTTGTGCCTTATTGACAAAGTATCCCAGAGAGCCAGCTAGAAGAGGCAGAACTGAAATTGGTTCCTTGTTTCAGTACATGGTTGTTTGGTCCCACTGCTTTGGGGAAGGCAGAACTTCATGGCAGGGCTACCAGGTTCAGTAGAACCACTTACCGCATGATATCAGGATACAAAAAAAGGAAAGGGCTGGTTCCCATTATGTTCTTCCAGGACATAGACATACAGACAGACACATAAACACACCGTCTTCCCCCATATGCACACACTCGTACATTGTCCATCCATTAGATCTGTCTCCTAAGGGTTCTACCTTTTCTTACTACTTTCACAGCTGACCACCAAGCCTTCAACCTTTGGGGATCCTTTTCCACCCCATGTGTGAGTCAAGCCTGCACTTACTCCTTTGACCTCTTCTGCTTCCCCCTACTCCTCCCCAGGCTGCCTTGACCATCCAGGACAGCCACATCGAGATCCACAAGCTGGTTCTACAGCAGCGGGAGAGCTTGGCCTTTTTCCGAGGTAGCCCCGTGCAGGACCAGGAGAAATCCCGCTACCTGGAAAAGCAGCGGGAAGAGTTGGCTAACATCCACAAGCTTCAACACCAATTCCAGCAGGAGCAGCGGCGCTGGCACCGCCTGTGCGAGCAGCAGCAGCGTGAGCAGGAAGCCCAAGAGAGCTGGCTACAAGCGCGGGAACGCGAGTGCCAGTCACAGGAGGAGCTCTTGTGGCGCCACCGCAGTGAGCTGGACCACCAGCTCCAAGAGTACCAGCAGAGCCTCGAGCGGCTGCGGGAGGGCCAGCGGATGGTAGAGAGGGAGAGACAGAGGATGCGTGTCCAGCAGGGTCTGCTGGGCCACTGCAAACACAGTCGCCAGAGGAGTCTCCCTGCTGTCTTCTCTCCAGAAAATAAGGAGGTATGTCTTAGCCCTGCATAGACTGGGCTTACCCAAACATCTGTATTCCTGGTTCTTGGTGAACAGCTCCAAAGACTGTGTCTCAGTTTGGAGATGGACAAAAAGCCAAGAGCGTTTAGAACCAATTCTTGGGTATCTTGACTTAAAAAATGGAAGTTCTAAGGTCCTGGATTTTTATTGGGGCCTCTGTGCTCTGAGACACCCTTTCCTAAGAAAAGACCACGGAATGGAGTTGCCCCAATAAAATAATGGATATTCTGACCTGGAGGCACATCCACTGTGAGAAAGATGCCTCTTAGGTATTTGAAAGACCCTCTTTAGATGATGCAATGTCATAGACTAAGAGTATCCTATTGTATCGCATGGCATGTGTCTTTAGCAGATCATTTAGCTCTTCATGTATAAGCATTGAATTGCACATGTTCTTTTTTAAGATTTATTTATTTATTATGTATACACATGTATACAGTGTTCTGCCTGCATGTACACCTGCAGGACAGAAGAGAGCACCAGATCTCATTACAGATAGCTGTGAGCCACCATGTAGTTGCTGGGAATTGAACTCAGGACCTTTGGAAGAGCAGCCAGTGAGTGCTCTTAACCTCTGAGCCATTTTTCCAGCCCCGAATTGCACAGATTCTGATGTAGAAAGCTTATTTTCTCTTTGTGAATTGGAGATATTGAATTCAAAATCATTTTCATTACGAAGTTATCCTGAGCTGTGCCTGATTAAGGACTGAGTGGATAAACCCGTTCAGAAGATCCCTGTTCCCATTGCATCCTCTCTAAACTTGCTTGACAATTCCATTTGTCTGAGCAGACTTTCTGCACTCTGCATCTCGTGTGTGTTTTTATCGACAGTGCATCATAGAGTTGTAAAAGTTAATAGGCTTATAAGAAAGAACTACATTGCATCTGATTTCTCCTTCAAGTTTGCTAAATTACATTTATTGCAAATTCCTTGTGCATTGAAGGATATGTTTTCGGCCTTTTTATGTAGCAAAAGTGGAAACACTGCTTGCTTTGATTAAAATAAAGTGGAGACTCTCCAAGGGTATAGACGCAAATGCTTTCTAAAAATAAGATAAATTGTGCATGGCGATTCGGAGGTTCTTGTTCTAGCTCATTTAAAGGGGTTGGGAGGAGGGTAAATGGGAGATTTCTTCCCAACCTTATTCTTATTAAGATCTTGATTGCTAGAATAAGAGGTTTCAGGGTTGTGGGCTAATTAAATACGTTGTGAACTTATTTAAGTTGCTAAAGAAATTACTGTATTTTTCTGTGTTTATGCAGGTAATGGAACTTAATCGAGCTGAGAGTTTGTGTCATGAAGACTCATTTTTCATCAACGAAGCTTTGGTACACATGTCACTTAACACTTCCAATAAACCAAATCCGTCGGGTGTCCCATGGGACACTTACCCCCCAGGTGTATCTCCTTTTGATCTGGTGAGGACTAGTGACAACCAAACAGAACTGAAGAGAGATGTTTCTCAGCCTCCAGATGTCAACCATGAACTCTGGACAGCCACGGGGCCCGGCCATGAGATACCTGCCCTCCAAGTAAACGTCCAGGATTCTTGTAAAAATGGTAATTAAATCTCTCCACGTCATCTGTATGGTGTCAGCGAGAAATTGGTTCCTCAGGAGAGTGAACCAGAGTGAGCTTAGCATGGGAACGATGGCGGCCATGAGTTGGAATTTTCTTTGGAAAGTCTCCGGGCGCCCTTTACCCCTAATGATCTGAATAGATGATGCCATGTGGGAGGGCTTAGGGTATGCCATAGACATGACCAACAGGGCATTTAGGTCAGTGGGCTAAACAGTATCCGCTTGAAAGTGGTCCGGCTTGATATTTATCCCCCACTGTAGACCCTGCTCCATCGTGATGTGTGTCTCAGTTGACACTCAGAAATAAAAAGGAATGGACAGGATTTGTGGTAGGACTTTATTGTCTGTCGGGGTGATTTCCTGTAACCTTGGTGAAATCTTCTGTTGTGCTATTAAACACGCAGAATGAAAGTGTTAGCATCATTTGTCATTGTAAAGAAAAAGGTGTTGTCTCCCGGTTAAGTACCTCCTAAGGACACAATTTGCTAGCCCCATTAAAGCGTTTGCCAAATGTAAAGGAAGGGCAGCTAGAGTTTCCAACTCCATGTGAATCCAAATGATTGAGATCTCTGTCCATTCTGGATTGTTTTCCGTGGGATGGTAGGCAGGGAATTAGGAGAACTGGAAACCAGATGGCATTAAACAAATGGCTGGCCACATGCATGTGACATAAATCACTGCCAGTGCGATGCTTCAGAAACATAAAACAATCAGGAGCTCTAGCGATCCTTAGAACTGGACACAGATTTGTTTCCGGGCTTGACATATATTCTTAGTTTGTCAGTTGGGAGGATCATTTTTCAGCAACAAAAAAACTTTGAGAGGCATTCGGTTCCTTCCAGTTAGGGAGCAATCATTCTGAGGCTGCCTCTGACTTGATTTATGACTGATCCAGGGAACGCTGAGTCTTAGTCCTGGCTGTTTCTTCACACTGCTCGGTCACCACTGTACTGTTCTCTAGGAGAGACTGAAGTAGTTCGTCCAAACATTGTTTTAAATGTTTTTCAATTAATTTGCTAAAAGTACAGTGGAATACATTGGATTAAAACGTAAAAGATCAAACAAAATTTAGAAAATGGAAACCCGTCGCATCTGTTCGCCTTGGAACTCCGTCCTGGGGAGCCCAGGAATGCTGATGCCGGGCACACTCTGCCTGGCTGAGCTGATTCAACTTGCTACGCTCAGTGTTTTATGTGCTCTTGTCAGTGTGGTTCTGTGTTGGCTTTGGTATCACTCAGAAACTCCATTTGAGCCAAACCACAGTTGGCTTTTGTTTAGAAGTATTGCTCTTACTCATTATGGGCCTACCATCATTTTCTCTCACCTCGGGCCTCAATGACTTAAGCTTTGAAACGTTTGGCAGCATGTTTACACTAGACAGAAAAATGTACCAAGGAAATAAAATAGACAGCAAGCCGTTCTATCCGCATAGGAAGTGCTAGATAGAGTCAAGAGAAATGCCGGGACAATTGCCTTTCCACTTAGGAAATCCATCCTATGTCCAGTGTGGACCAAGGGCATTCAGGACAGTGACAGCAAGAAGGAAGGTCAACTTCAGCCTGAATCTCTCAGGAGCATCTTGGGGTGTAGAAAGTAGGGGTCAGGACAGATGTGTCCACCGCTGGAGTTCTGCGAGTTGTCAAAAAGCTCTGCTTATGTGTTTGTTTACTTTAACGTGAGAAGCAATTTCTGAACAAGAGAGAAGAGAGTCGAAGAATAGGAAATGATAGGATAGTGAAATAAAAATGGTTTTTTATTTTTAAAGGGGTGGTTGGGGCCAGATAAAATTGGTCAAACCGTTCCAAGCTTTCATAATTCTGTGGTTTGAATATCGCACATTAGCCATTGGTAGGGGGGACGCGCGGTGGGGTAGCTAGGCTCTGAGCACTCTCCACGCATGCTCCACAGGGCAATGAGCTGGCAGGAGCAAACTGCAGGTACACCGGGTGGTGTTGACATCATGCATGTCACAGGGTGCTTCTGAATCTGCGTGACCACTGCAAAGGAGCCCTGTAGAGCTGTTTGCCTATGATGTCCTAGCCTGGTATTTTTTGTTAAATATGCCTTTTAACGGCCTGGCAGTAGTGGTGCACACCTTTGGTTCCAGCACTCGGGAGGCACAAACACGTGGATCTCTGTGATTTTGAGACCAGTCTCTTCTACAGAGTGAATCCTAGAACAGCCTGGGCTACAAAGAGAAACCCTATCTAGAAAACAAAAACAAAAACCATGCCGTTAGCTGTGATTGATAAGCTGTACTGTTTATTGTTGGAGCATAAGGGCCACTGTTTCTGGAGGGCCCTAGGAATGGCTTATTCTCTGTCCAGTGCTGTGCTTGGGTCCAGCTCAGAGGAGTAAAAATAAGGATTTCTGAAACAGGAGGGCAGATAGTGTATGTGTGTGTGTGTGTATGAATAAAATTCACGGATGTGCCTAGAAGTCACCTCACCAAGAATTTTCATTATTTTTTTTTTCCCTTTTCCCATCCAACCTCACCAAGACTCTCCAGGTTCCCTCTAGTTTCTGCGCCATTCTTCCACCATCACCACCAGCAGGCACTCTGCAGACCTGTCAGCTTGCCAGCCCCATACAGATGTTCTCCATGGAGAAAACCATTTAGCACTCCCAGGCACCAACATGGTCCTGTGGTGACCTCCGTAGTGGAGGGGGAACTGAGCAAGAGCAAGGCAGGGCAACTTGTCCAAGGTCACAGGGGTGGCAAAGGAAACGAGGGAGCAAACATGGCCAGACTGGTTCTGTTGCGCCTGCTCTCCGATCAGCGGCTGCAGAATTCCCAAGAGCCATGCTGCCCTGTACATTTAACAGAATGTGGAGGGGATCTTTATGGAATGCCTGGCAGGATACTCACAATTAAGGGCCAGGCTTTTGTTTTTGTTTATCCCCCCCCCCCTTTAGTTTTACCATTTGGAAACTATTTCTAAAGGTTTTGGATTTCTATGACCAAGTCTTCCTTGGGACCCGAATGTCTTCAGATATCCTAAGTAGGCTATAGTTTCAGTTGCTTCCCAGGAGACACATTTTTCTCAAGGATATTTGGTTTTCTAATACCTAATAATAACTCCATTTTATTTCTAAATATTTAAGGTAGCACCATAAAGAAATTTGCTTTCTAGTTTTGGAAGGGATTTCATGAACAAAATTGTTGGATATTTGAATATTAAATCCAAATTGGCATTTGATTTTATTTATAGTGGAAGAGATGGTTGGTTTAAGGACGTTTTATTCTTGCCCTCTTCTGAGGGATTCCAGCCAAGACCACAATAAGTCTGAATTTCTTTAAACAAGGAAGCCTCTGTGGGACAATTGCTATATAATTGGTTCTATGGAGCACTCAAATGCATTACTCTCAAAGCCCCTCCCCAAAGTCATTTTATTTTATTACTGTGTTTTTCCCCCTCTTAGCTTTTCTAGAACTATATGTTGGATGCATCTAGTTCTTGTCTATTATTTGCTCTTTTCATCCGTCAGTGAGGAAAACATTTTGTGGTATGGATGCCTGAGGTCTGCTTGAGCTTAGTCTTTCCTTTTATTTATATTTTTAAAACTATCTCAGAACTCTTCAGATTCCCTAAAATGTTCTCTCTGACGATATTAAAGAATTATTATTTTGTGATCTGTAAAATAAAATTTAGGTTGGGCCAATTAAAATGATTATTGTACATATGTGTATGGTGTGTGTGCATGTATATGTGCGTGTGTGTGTGTATGTGTATGCATGTGTGCGTGTGCAGGTTTGTGTATGCCATGCACACGTGCAGAGGACAGGGAACAACTTTTGGGAATCAGTTCTCCCCTTCTGCCTTGTGGAGGCAGGGTCTTTCTCCTTGTTGCTGCTATGCTGTGTATGCAGGCTAGCTGGTTCTTTAACTTCCCAGCAGTTCCCTCTTTGCCTCCCATACTGCTTTTTGGGGTGCTGGAATTTCACATTCTAACCACCACACCCAGCGTTTTGGTTTTTTTCTCTCTTTGTTTATTTTTCACATGGGTTCCAGAGCTCAGACTCAAGTTGTCAGGCCTGAATGGTGAGCCCAGTTTACTCACTGAGCTACCTTGCTGGCCATATTTTTATGGTAATCTCATAGATCTTGACCAAAAGAGTGACTTTATTTGTTTGTAAGAGGTCGAAAGCCCAAATTTCGAACTTCCTAGGTAGCCTAAGATGACCTTGAACTTCCCATCCTCCTGCTCCACCTCCCAGTTGCCGGGTTTACAGACGTGTGCCACCATATGTTCAGTTTATTATATGAAGAACTGAACTCATTCATGCTAGGCAAGCAGTCTGCTGGCTGAGCTGCCAGAGGGACTTCATTGTTTTGGTTCCAAGGAGTTCTTCTTGCATGACATATTAGAACTTGGTGCCCAGCAAAACATTTCCCAACTTAAGGGAACTGTATTCAGAATATCTCATCTTGGTAATGTTGTTGTCCATTTTTTTTTCTTTTTATTTGAGCAAAAATAGGTTTGTCAGGCTCTTCGATGACAGACTTCTTAAGCATAGCTGTTTAGAAATGAAAAACTACACTATAATTCTAAATAACAGTCTTCAAACACTTGAGAATCTGGTGATTTCCAGTGTTTAAAAACTATTCTAGAATTTAGAAAGTGGCACCTTATTTGTGTAGTCTGAATGGAAAGAGGCTGTGCCAGAGACCTTCAGGCCATTTTCCATAAAACAGAAATTAGCCTTGGGCTCCACAACTTCAGGTCACAAAGGTGCATTTGAAGTGAGGGTTGGCTAAGTTTTCAAGGGTTGCCAAGCCAAGTACCTCAGACTCGGTAGGTTTAACAACAGAAATTTAGAGTCCTGGAGACTGAAGTCCCGGCTCAGGGTGCTGTAAAACTCGGCTTCTGTGGCAGTCTTTCTCCCTCATGGGTTGTCTTCCTGTGTACTGACAGGATCTCTCCTCTGTGCCTGACCAAGCTCTGATCAACTCTCCTAATAAGGACATGGTTATATAT